CCAAAAACAGGAGGGAGACAGAATGTGCAGTCGTATAATCTCATCGCATGATTTATTGTGTACTGACAGCACGAGAAAGCGCCCCCAACATTGATAATAATCTTTCCCCGAGGTAATATGCCATACCAGTGTATTTCAGCATCTGGGTGAGGCCAAAGACCGTGATACCGTAGATAAGAGGCGCAAATCCTGATAGATCAGTAACGACTAAAACGCAAATACGGAAGGTACGCCAACGGAGACCTTGACACTTTGGACGAACTCGACTGAAAATTGCCGCGAGCGTGACTATCTGTATAGAAGTCTCGTTATTGCTCCTCTTTCGATGAAAAGCGACTATCACAAACCATGGCCCAGTATATCTTTTGTAAACCAGGCTCACGGTAGGAAACCATGGAAATCCCAGATACAAAATCCCCCAGACTTAAAACAATAATTCCCACGAAATGAAGCCGTAGCCATATACCTGAGACGTGCGCGGAATGGTTTATAAAGTGTGGTACATGGCCAACATACCCAGGCATATTACTGCCGTTAAAAGGAAGAAGGCAAATACAGCATAATCGCTCGTTGTAGCATTGGGATATCGGACATGAAGGCATTGGTACATCACACCATTGGCCATTAGGAACAGAGTTCCGGGTAGTAAATGCGAATACATATTGACTGTTTCATTGCGCAGGTATACCCAACTAGCGAAGCTCACACGAACAGAGTTTATCACAGACGATAGCCATGGAAGATGAAGGGGGTTCTCTTGGTATCATTCTAGTATATAATTATAGGATAGAAGATCTGAATAACCTTCTCCAAGATAGCCTTCACAGATGTTTCTGGCTTTTCCATGCCTGCTATCCCGACCGGAGCAGGTGGTTTGCGCTGACGCGGCAATGCCATTATAGAAAAGCCTTGTGTGATAGATTGACCGCTACCTTCAAAGAGTTAGGTAATTGAAGTGGAAATATCTGACTGCTCCAGAGGTTGAAAATACATTGGGGAAAATACAACTTTAACAACTGTCTAGCGGCTCGAAAGGAGGTCAACATCAGGATGCGTACTGCAACTGCTAAGTCTTAGGTGCTAAGATCTTGAATTTTTCCCGGAACATTTTAACTTGCGCATAGGCCAAAACATCTAATTTTGCTTATTAGACACTTTGCCATCACTTGTACTTATGGAGATGAATTGTAGATGTACTAACTCAAAGTTTACTTTTCTCTTTGTCCGTAAATATACAGGCCTAGCCGTCCGTCCTCCGCATTTGAGAGTTACCGGGAGTGGGCTCCGTTACTTGGCGAGGAAGACTCCAAATGTATCAAGCAATACTTCAAAATGGCTTTTATTTGCTAGTGCCTACAGGTCGGTAATGTTCATCGAATAGATACTGCATATGCTGAAACAGCGCTCTATGGGCTCTGAATAATCTGCATATATCTGGGAGAAGCGAAACCAATGTCCAAGGCAAGCAGACTTCAAAAATTTCAGAGATGTTTTCACAGTGTTACTGTGAGCAAACGCATAACCTGAACTTATCGGCATCACTTTATCGACACCCACCACACGAACAACACGCGTACTACTGTCAGTCGGATTGGCAGCAACGGTAACGCCGAAACCCATTCATATCAGCTTCCATGCACCCCTCAGAAGATACACACAAGACGCGTTTGGTGATCTACTTGGCTGTCAGCTAACCCTCGAATTTGAGGAGCCACGATTGAACAAACTTCTCGCCACATCGACGTTGTGTCAAACCTGCAGCCCCCAAAATGTTGGCTTTGCTAAGCTCTCTACGTATGCAAGCCAGGTTTAACTATGGGTGACGGTATGTTGTACAGCTAGAAAGCACATTTGCATCATTGATAGACGCGAGACAGGAAACCCGCATCGAATTGTCCTCTAGGGGGTTTGGGGCAGCTATTTTTGACTACCTCGCCTCGTGTTTTGAATACTTCGACCAAATGTCTCAGGCCCTTGTGACTCAAAGTATATCCCTCCACTGAAGCGGCCGACTGGTCAAGGGCGATAAATGCTTCCACACGTCTATCACCAGCTTGTGGGGGTGAATCTGGATGGTCGACCTCATTGTATCGGTCAAATCTCCACCGCTCTGCGATCCTCAGAGGCTACTACAGACTAAGTTTTGACATATGCCGTCTTTCAGAAAGAGATGAAGGAGTTTCTTGACAAATTGTCTGCGTCTAGCTGGGATATCGGGGAACAACCCCCACAGTAGGATTCAGCGGGACCAACGATTCCCGAGAGACTCTGCCACTGAGCATCTCTCAGCTCGATCTACCGGAGCAAAACCACACGAATGCGTTGGCCCTCGTATATTTGTTGCGGTAAGAAACCTCGGTAGCCTACATCGCACAGCAACTCCAACCATCCAAATAAGATGCTCAGATTATATTAGAACTTGTGATGGATTGAGATCCTCCGGCTCAGGTCCCTTGACGTGAGTACACAGACGCTGAAGCTCAATAATCAAGATGAGAATGCTTCCAAATCAAGGGCCAATTCAAGCGGTTGTTTTCGTGAACGATAAAGACGACATCTGTGTCCTTGATCGAAGTGGACGTGTGGGACTCTTGCAAATCTCACCCTTTGCGCGGCAGATGGGGGCATACTTTACTTTCCTTAACGAAGCACATTCCAGAAAGATTGATTTAAAGTTGCCGACTAACTATCGCGCGGAAGTCACCCTTGGTCCCGGTATCACACAAGGCAAGTTAGTTCAAAATATGATATTGCATATTCAATATAAGGCACTGCACAGGGCGGACGGCACCATAGCTTGCCTGAGAATGAGAAAATTAAATCCCTAAGCTCTGGGCAGTTTCCGAGACTTGGAGTTATATTAGACGCAGCATCTCGCGTTGGGCAGTCCAGCGCACCCGATTCGAGCACCAACGTGCATTGTGGCAAGTTTGTCGCCAAATCGAGTGCCTCGACATGAGTTCGACTCACGCCAAGAATTCCTCGAGCCTGAATGCCAAACCGTTGAGAAGCGATACCGACCTGGTCACCTAGGGAGGCGTTTTACTTCCCTCCGGATGAAAACCAAACTTTGAAGTTGATAAGGGAGCTCTGCCGGAAGATTGGCGGTCTCAATGCTGCGTCATACATCCTTCAAGAGGAACAGGAGCGCGGACTTGCACTCGAGATTGAAAGCGAGCGTCAGGTTCAGAGGCCTGCAGTTGCCACCCCCGAATTACACCAAATTCACTCACATCTCCTCATTTGTCGCCACTGGAGACCTTGTGAGGTCTTCTGAAGCCTACCAGCCGGCGTACCACACGCTGCGCGACATCTCAGCTTCGTTTCTTGACGTGTCTGAATTTCCGTCCGGTCCCTTGGCTAGAAAAGACTTCTTCACGACGATCAAAATCCCCTCTGGTTCGCCGTTTATTGCTGGTTCTTTGCAAAGGCCTGTCAGGTGGGCCCTGATGACTGCAAATCGTGTGGCGTGTGATGGAAGCCTCGCGGTGTGCATGATGATCATCAACCCTTTCGAGGCCAATCGTATGAAGCCGGAGAGGCTAAAATAAGGCTTCGTCAGGCTTCACTTATACGCACCAGCCGAAGCCGAGAACTCCCCTCGCTGGATAAACTCACGCTATACAATGTCCCTAAATCCATTGGCAGGGGTGAAATACTTGATATCGTTCGGATCAGCTCAACCTTTTCTCTGGACAGTTGTACCGATTCATACTCTGAGTACAAAGACCTTTGTGCGTTTTTAGGTGTAGCACATGTTTAGAACACCAGCCGATTTGGATGTTTGCTGCGGATGGTTTCATTAAGTGTGGTACCCAACGAACGAACAACACCTTCAGCCAAAGTCCTCTCAAGTATCTCGAGTGCTTACGCCCCAGATTAGAAAAGATTGTTAGGAAATTGGACGCACACATGTTGGCCAAATCGTCAGTGGCAAATTGCTATTTCCGCTCGACTTTGTGGAATCGGCGAAAGCCTTCGTAGAGGCAAGTTTCCAGAGACTGAAAATATGATTTTCATAGCAACTCATCCTCGATATTATGGTCCTTCTTGAAAGATGATCCAGGTTAAAAGAAACTGTGACACAATTCTACAAAATCTAGCACTATGAATAATCAAGGATCTCGTGCCATTTATACAATTTTGAATATAGAATATTTTGGCGAGACCTGTGTTCAGAGCTGGCTCAGTCAGGTGAGCTGAGACAGAGACTTCCAGTTCTGTAGTGGTAAAGGTCGTGCATATTCTTCCGAAAGGTAGCGCCAATTAAATGACTGGTCCTGGGCAAGGGGGGTGGTACGCCCAATGGGGATAGGTAACATGTTTGTTTCCGCTATTCGATGGAATCTTTCCCCTGGTTGAATATTTTCAAAAAGCATGTTCTGCTTTTCGTCGACGTGGATTTTCTGCTAATGATCATGAAAAACCCATTTACTGGCGGGGGAAGGGAGAAGAACCGCTACACCGTCTCGTTTCGTCGCCTCGCATATACGTTAGTCAAATACCCCTCGGGACGAATGGAACTGATATTTCCAGTGTCGGTTCATGAGATGGGCCCTCTAATTTAATATTGTAATATTGGATGTTCGAAGTTCCTGCCAACTGGTGGACTGGTCCTAGTTTGACTTCTCGAGCTGGTTCCTTCCTCTAGCCTTTCAACTTTGAACGGTTACTCGCTTGTTCTCGATGATAAAGTCTGAGCATACGAGTATCTTCTAGGTAGAAGAGCAATTTAGTTTTTACAATTATGTACCCAAGAATGGTTATTTGTTTTTTGGCATTCGTGCTCCGTCGGCCTGTGAGATGAAGAAATAATTTGAGCAGTGTGAATTTGAACGGAACTTTTCCCTTTCTTTTCCCTTTCTTTTCTTTTTTTTTTGTGTGTGTTTACTGAATAAAACGAAAATTCACACGTAGCCAGGCAGCTATACCCATGAAGAAGGAACCTTCCAGACACAAGGTTGTGCAAATTAATTTTGACAATCAAGTAACAAAATCGATTAGTCGATAAACCTATAAAATATCAACACCAAATCAATCAAGTATTGAACCTTCCACACAGAATAATGGAACCACATACCAAGCAGCCATGGCAATAATCAGATACATCATGATAAGTAGGACGCCCTCAAGCCAGTGAGACTTGCCATCCGCAATGAGGTAGTTAACGAGCAGGACAGTGACAAAGAGGACAATAATCTGGAAAGCTTCGAAGTTGAGAGTCTGTTTGTCGTTAAAATCAATTCTTACATCCAAGTAGACTTATCAAGATTTATCAAGATGAGACACCGAATTCGAGGTGAGAACGTACCATGTTCTCAACTCCCATAGCCCAGCCAATAACAACAACCAAAGGCAGAACTAGCAGCACTATTTGCATACTTGAGCCCACGGCTACTCCGATCGCAAGATCCATTTTGTCCTTACAAGCGACTGTCACTGCAGTAGCGTGTTCTGCTGCGTTGCCGACGATAGGAAGGAGAATTAGCCCAACGAATGTCTCAGTGATACTACCAGTAGCGGTCAGTGCATCGATGGAGTTGACCATGAATTCTGCACAGATGGCCACAAGCGTGGTAGAAATGCATAGCGTAATTAATGCGACCGAGAGAGTCAGCTGCGGCTGCTCTGGCTTGTTATCCGGGTCCTGCATCTGGATTTGTCGCACGTTTCCACCCATGGGTGCGGCGGAAATTTTCGCTATCTGAGCGATTTTGCGCTGGGTATCGCTGGGGCCAATCCTTTGGTGGCGTCTTTCGGCCTTGCGGCTAGGGCAATTGTAAATGTCGACGTGAGATTTTAGTTGGAAGAATAGGTAGCAACCGTACGTGATTAGGAGGAGGATGCTGGTTCCTCTAGAAAGATCGGCAGTTTTGTCCGCGTTGGCGGTGGTAGTCCACGTGTGGAAGGCAGTGGGGATGATCAAGCTACTCACAGCAAGTGCGAGCAAACTGGCTGCAGTCTGCGCGACTGTGACATTAAAATGCTGCTCGACACGATCGATACCACCAAAGAAGAAACACATCCCCATAACGAGAAGCAGGTTCGACAGCATACTTCCACTCAGTGAAGTCTGCACGATCAGAACATTCTTCTTGGCCAGCGCTATGATCGCAACGATCAGCTCCACCGCATTTCCAAAGGAGGCATTCAACAATCCGCCGATCGTCTCGCCCGTCCGCAGAGCAATCTCTTCCGTCGCATAACTCAACATCGCAGCCAGCGGAATAATCGCAATGAAGTTCACAACGAAGATGGCAATCGGATTTGCCTTGACTACGTGCAACGAAAAGCCGGCCGGCGCAGCGAGAATAAGCACATTGATCCAGGAATTCAAGACCGTAGCCCGCAACTGACTCGCAACAGTAAACGTTGGCCGCTTTTTTGCATTATCAACTTTCATCGCCGGGTGTGTACCGTTACGCCTAAGCCTGAAAAGATGGTCTCTGTTGCGTGACTTATTTGCAATTGTCCCTGTCTATGTATCATGCGGCACGTTGGTCTCCTGGCTTAGAGTTGACCGACCACCATGGGTGTACTCCTCACTGCCCGCAGGCTTGTGAGGAAATGCTTCTCCGTAATCAGGGCCCGTGAAGTCGTCGGCGAAATTGCGTATTCCGTGAGGAGGGCCATTGTTCTGGAACTCGACATCGACGGGACCGGTGCGCGAAGTTTCATGGCGGTAGGTATCTGCTATGGTGCGAGTATTAGAATCATAAGTAGCATGTTATAGATTGCCTCATGAGAGGGGATATTGCAGGGGACTAACGCAACATTGCAGATGGTTTGGCGTTGTTGTTGGAATGGAAAAGAATGGTCGGGATACCAGTGAGTATTTAAAAGCTATATGGGGGCGCAGTAGGGCTCAAGTGTTAGGCAAACCCAGAGACAGCCGTCCGATCGGGCGCCCGCGCCTCTTTTCTTCGTAGCAACTGTGCAGAGACGCGAACAGTGACACGGATAGACCAGGTAAATGTGGGGACAAGGTGAGAACCGTAGCGGTGGACACAGCCGCAGGTCTGTAAAGGTCCGAGAGCCTGCCCCGGAGGCTCAACACAGGAGTCGAGCTGGCGAGAAGGCAATTCATAGACCAGCAACCGGCCGGTGATGGGTGCTAACACTACAGCCACAATTCGGTTTGATTTACATATCGCCATAAAATGATGTTCTTCTGGGAGACTTATACTTTTCTACTCGAGGAACTCCGGTGGCCGTGGGAATTGGAAGCCCAAAGCTAGACCATCATTCTTGTTTCCAGTGTTGTGGCTAGTTTGACTCCACGCAGCCCAGCCCTTGGGACTACCGGCCTTCGTGGTGTGGGACAGGTCACAAGATGGGTTCAACAGGAGACTAGAACAAGGCAGTCTCAACACAGCCTCGATTGTGAGGTATGCCTGAGTAAAGGTAATCACGCGAGATAGAATTCATTAATCCAAATACGGTGGCCGGTATCACAAGCCGCGTGGCAGATGAAATTGAATGGCGTACGCCTTCCACGGGGTAACCAAAGTAGCTTCGAGACCAGAATTCCGCTGATTGACTCTGCCTCGCAGGCAGCAACGGAGTTAGTGCAGCACCAAACGGAGCAATGGGCCAATTACACATCGATAACGGTCTGTTCTTGACTCGCAGCGATCTTTCCCAAAGTGGAGGTCGAGTCTCACATAATCATCCAAATACTGGGCTATAGCCCGGTTGAAAAATAGACACAGCGCGGACTGAGAATATTCTGCATGCCAGACTGGTGCTGTGCATTTCAGACAGAAGTTTTGACACCCGCGACCGCGTTTTGTACCTGTCCATTAGAGTAAAAAAAGATCGTAGCATAGTGTATTATGAGCGTATCAAGTGGTTGGAATTCCAAAACTCTTTTCTCGAAAATCTTGATGGTTCGCATCTATGCTGGTCCGTGGAGCCACCGGTCGGCCTCTGTCATCGGAGGTAGGATGGGCTAAATTTAGCCCATCGCCTTAATCAGGCACCACAATGTACTTTTTCCTTTACACTTGGCATACGTCGATGAGAATGGCGAGAGTAACACCGTAGTACCTTGCAACCCCAAGAGGTCGGTGACGAGTCAGCATTTTCTGGGTGCGATTAGAAATGTGGAAGTCAGACCATAGATTTGGGAATGTAATGTGATGTGAAATACTAAGTTGGTCAAGATTTATCTCTAGCTGCTACTTCCACAAAATGTTAAAGGCATATCGCCTGGCTCATTACGTGAATTGACAAGGACGTCGCGCGGGATATGGGAATTTGTCTAGATCTTTTGCCAGAGTCAGTGCACTACTGTCTCATTTGTCTGGCGCTACGTAGCTTGGTGCTTCTTTACTAACAGGCTGGAAAAGTCTGCCGAAATTTCCACGCTATTCCGTTGCTATCGAGAGGTAGGTGTCCTTGTTACTACTCATCCCATGTACTGTAGTATTTCTCTGCTCGCCATTTTTGTCTAGCTTGGGGAGGTGTCGAGGGCCGAACTTTCTCTGGCAATTCCCACTACTCCTTGTCCCCAACGCGGAACTTCCCAGGCAATTTGCCCTATAATCCACTACTGCTAGACATTACGTACCGTAGAGATGCAGGCCACATCTGAAATCGTCATATCTCACCCCAATATCTGGAGAAACACCGCATGATATCGCGCAAATCCAGAGCCATCGGTTTTTGACAGCGGCATGGATCGCTATCATATGTGATCTGTTTGTGTCCTCGGAGAGCTAAGTGTATTTTGCTGCATCGAACCTGAGGGGCCGTCCCAACCATGACATCAAGCTTTTGATGCGCCGCACCGTTCCTCGGAATTTCAGTTTAGTCAAGTTAGAGAAAAATGCCTTTCCTGCTCGCAACTGTTTCCCAACCTTGGCGCCGGAACTTTTACAAGATGAATTTCAATGGACCTTAACGAATTTTTCTTAGGGCCAATCAATATTCTATTAATGGATTAAACTAGGAGCGTACAGTGTGTCTTTTGCATATCAATCTACTTTTGAGCAATGTACTTGTGAGACTCTGCATCCCTTGGCTATACGTCTCAGTGTTATTTAACCCAGATTACTTCCGCTGCCGATCGGGCTGTTGAGCGCTGCCACAAGCTACCCATGCCAAGATTTACACGATTTCTAAAGCATCGATGCAGGTTATACAAGATACCCCATCTCCCATCCGTATCCAAAAAACTACGAAAGAGACGGGCAAATATGGCGATAAAGCTATTATACGCCAGTAGTGATGATATTTCTCCCGCGCATGTCGCCCACTTTATGGTTCAGATCATGTTCACTTTGTATACGGAAACAAGTGAGCTTCGCATCTGTCCTGAAAAAGTGAGTGTTGGAACACACGGAGGCTGGGATCTTGGGCTCTTCAAGGCTAGTCCAGAGAAACAGCCACAGCCTCAATCTAGATCAAGTCTTATTGAGGAATTGGAGTCTGAAGCGACGCTTCAGTGGAATTTGCGCGTGCTCCAAGACCTTCTCAAAGGATACATTCAACGTTCACGCCTCCGGCTTCGGCGAAGGCGAACATCATATAAGAACCTTTTTTGGCTGATTTGCCTCATAGAAATGGGTTCATCTATCCGCTGGTCTAATGGTTGCTTAGAGGATTGTCTTAAAGACCTACACTGGTTACAATTAGAATGGTCCCAGGTCGACTGAAGTGCACAAAGTCATGCGATTATTGGGTGGCATTAACTCGAAATAGGACAGCCCCGTCGGTTCTTCGCTGATTTTTAAAAACAGTTTCAAAACATAGCTAGCCTAGATTTAAACATATTTAAACAGCTTAAAATTGAATGCTGGAAAGAATGTGTCTTCACTATTTCACTTGCACTGGGGAGCGTGTAACAAAAGAAAAAGAGAAAAAAAGCCCGACCTGTTGGAAAGCGAGAAAGTTATAGAAGGACCGACGGAAAAGATATTGGAAATTGAGGGATGCATGCAGAAAGCAAAGAAGCCAGTTTGAATAAATTCTAGCCGAGCGATCGAGACCAACCCTTCTACTTGAGCCGTACGTAAATTTGAATCTATATAGTGATTAAGCGAAGCCATAGTGCGGCACACACAATGTAATTGCCTTGAGTTCAGCCACAGTGCGTAGCTAGGATGATCTGTATTCTTTGGTAGTACAGATTAGATATTGGCAATTTGATTAGGATGAGTACCTACAGTCGCTACCGGGTGGGATAAAGATACAGATTGACAATACGACTCCGTTTCTTTTTGCCTATTTTGCCCATTCAGCTGAGATATTTCTACATTCCAGCCTAAAACCCAATCTTCGCGAGGCCTTGAGAATTGTGAGCGAGATCATCAGCTCTGTTGGCTGTGCTTTCGGGCGTTGTCCCCGAACAGTATTCTACGTAAATGTACATATTGGTACTGAGAGGCACTTTATTAAGTATCATAGGACATCACTCCGCCTCAACATTTTCAGCGCGAGTGACATAAGCCATTGCCCAAATAGATATTTTAGCCATAAGAGGTCGGGATTTTTTTCACCATCATCCTCAACTCTTGAACCACCATATGCTACCACTATTATGCGTATCCCATTTTTCCTTGTTTCCTTGTTCCTGATAAGTTTACAAAGGCAATCATTTGCCGTACGATTGCGAGGGCCTTCCTATGACAATATTAAGGACAAACCATCAAGTTATAGGAGTGCTTAACAGGCTAGGACAGTATTACTCTCTTACTTCTCATACTAAGTCAAACAGGACGGGCAATGCACAGGTGCCACAAACCAAATTTTACCTCTCTCGTCTAATCAATGTACCATTTCACGCCATGTATGTTGCCTTGGTCCGCATCTGCAAGCTGGTTGAACAAGTGTCGTGAGACATCAATGGAGTTTTTATCGCACCCCATACACTTATCAACGACTATGCCTTGGGCAAAAATCCCATGGTACTCGACAGTGACCTGTTTCCCACAATGCTCATCAGTCATAACATGTTGAGATAATGCCAAAACATCCGAACTACCGCCATTGTTGACGGTACCACATGAACTGGGGTGGGAAGGCGTGTCGGCTGTATCATAAAATGTCATACTACCAATACACGGATTACCTGCCTCACAAGAACTGTGAATCGTGTTCTCGGGGGAGGCAGTTTTCATCTCGAATGCAGAGCTCAATGAAGCAGCTCCCTGTGAAGTCGATACCGATGCAGATTCGGTCATGAAGGAATTGACTGGCGCAGAGGTGTCAAAAGACGAGCCGGCAACGACTGCCCTGGTATCACTCATGCATATGTTCACGTAAGCTTTTGTGAGCGTAATTGTCCACAAAACGGCTAGAATCGGCTTCCTCGGCATAGAAGTCTGTTATATCACTTCGGGGAAGGAAAGATGGGTTGAGCAGCTTGACCATCACAGCAAAGACAGAGGAATATAACTTTTCGTGCATCTGAGCTGCTTCAATTTAGATCCTGTTCCACTGCATATTTTTAGAGCCACTTTCGGATACAAGACCGCGTAATGATTAACTATTAAGGACTATATTGAAGCGGGCCGAAAGACCGGATTTTGATGGGTCAGGATATGAGTTCTGGAATAGAACCGCGATAGTATGCAGCAAAGAATACCGATATATTATAAGATATTTTGTTTGCTTACCCTAATTATACGTTAGGTTCGGTCTCGCTAACGTAGTGTTTTGACATTAAAAAATAGAAATAAAAATAGAAACAAGAAAGAAATGAAAAAGGAAAATAGTTAACCTATCACTCATTGAGCGGGCGCGGTGGAAAAGGTTGCATGGGAATGATCAGCCATTATTAACCCAGCCCAACCGACATCCTCCCCACGTACCTTTCACGAAAGCCATTGCTATTGCTTCTACCGCGATGACAGATCCCTTTTGCGTAGCACTTCCCTCTCCTCAAGAACTTGGCATTGGCCGGCTTATCCCTCACGATACGCTGGCACGTCAAAACTTGACCAACCCTAAGTTGGGTGAAAGTCCCACAATCACCATTTGCAATTCGTGCAAGTCGTTTCCATCTCAATCACGAACCACAAAATGAAACTTACCGCCGACATATTTCAAGCGTACAGGGTAAAGTTTTGAATTCTTACCGCCACATCATTGCCCAGGAATACACAGGCAAAGGATATGTGATCGTCGGACACCACAAAGCCTCAATCCCCACTTTAAGCTCAAAAATGAAAATGGCTTCGTCACATCCAAACAAGATGGTGATATTGTTACGCCTATGAATACATTTGAACTACACGCCCGCTGCCCCCACTTTTGAGAAAGAGGTTCGGCCATCCAAGGACGGTCATTCTGGGATTTTTGGACCATCTATCAAGATGAAGCGAAAATAACCGTCTATAATACCGAGCACAAAGACTTGTAGGCTCAACTAAGGCTTACAGGTGCCACCTTGTTATCGGTTGCTATAATTGGTGGTAGCAGGATATTGCCTCTTCGGCTTTGAGTGTGGCCGGGTTCCACCAATAACAAGAGCACCGATAGCGGATTCATTAGAGAGGATAAGCTAGCAGCATTTATCTGAGTGTTTTATTTTTGTTTGAAGGCGAGAGAAGCATAAGCCGTTCAGATATCTAGAGATCCCAGTCTCGATACAAAATTTACCAAGTCGCATTCTCCTCTCCAGCTTTCCCTCCTCTCTCTAACTTCCTTTACAGCTGTTCCAAGGGGCTAAGTAGCATATGGTCCAAGGGATATCCTCTACTAGAAAGTAATGACCAAGATTGAGTTAATAGCTCGTTTGGCGTTTGCATGAACTAGGATGACTTGTTCGACAGAGTATCGGGTCAAAATCAGGCCACGAGCCGCATACTGCTGGATAAGAAAAGATTGCATGCGCCCGATTGCCGAAGCCTTGAGATTGGTGTATTTACAGGATTTGCATATGTAGCGACATGGCCAAGAAAGGTAATGCAGATCAAAATGGTGGAATGGAGGGTAAGCCAATCTAGGCTTCGCCTGCCCGCGTTTCCGCCATTATCTGGCAATTGGTCGTATTTGATTGTCCCATCCTCGACGGAATCAGTCACCTGTGGAAGCTATTATTCCAACTCGGACCATCCTTTCCCACCCCAAAGAAGTAGCGTAAACTCTGAACTCTTTATGTATTCTCCGTGAACAAGACTGCTAGTCACGTGGTACTATAAGCCCTACTTATGATGCTTTGTCAATTTGAGACAGCTTCAACGCGTACTTTTCAAATGCGAGGCGCCAGAAGCCCACTGGAACAAAAACCCTCTTGTAACTCCACCTCTGGGCTGAGACACCTGCCCTCCTACTGACCTCGTCCACTTCCTGGGGCTTGACAAAGGAAGCATGCTATTAAAGCTTGCACTCGACAGCTTCAACACGGCATCCTTCTTCCTCCTAAGCCTTCTCACAACGTCATATAGTATTTATGATCAGTCTATTACAACACTTATTCCACCCCCGGAGAATTTCACGGGACGCATCTCCCACCCCTTCCTCCGGAAAACCTCAATGCCGGGTAGCTGTAATCACTAAACGAATTGAGACAAGCTTCACCGAGACGGGAAGAACGATTTTGCAACCATATATATATGAATCGATTAATGAACGGGGCCATCAGTCGACGAAACTGAAGTTCCCTCGGTTTCCTCGGTCACCCAGGCCTTCATCAAACCAGGACCACATAGATCACCTGGTTGGAATTGTATAAGCTCATATCAAACCCCGCCGGAATAAACCAATCGAGCGCGAAATTGCAGGGCGCAGTCAAACAGAAGGGCTAGCTTGAGTTCAGTCTTCCTAAATTCTCGACAATTTTGGAAGTCTGGTGACGAGCGAAGGTACCGTAGAAAAGCGTTATTGAGGCTTTGTATCCGTGCACTACCCCAGGAAGTAAAGCTGGAGTAGACCACATGGCTACGCACAAAGTCAAACAGACGAGCACGTAGTTGGAGTTCAAGAGACGTTTCCTGTCCAGCCACCTCCGCGGTGCTCTCCTCTGCTAATTGCTTCGCGGCTTGATTAATAGCATATTCCATGGCAGCCAGGCCATTGGCAAGCTCAAATTCGCATTTCTCAGAGCCTAGTCGAGGTTTTGGCACAATGATTGAGCCGAAAGTGCTCGCAGTTTGATGATTCCATTCAACGACACTAATCGCATTTTGTATGGCGTGAACGCAATGTGCCATGGCACAGTCTCGCCCTAGCTGATTTTGAACTGGGTTTGACATCTTTCCCTCTTGTCTGTTTGTGTTGGTGGAGTTTCGAATATTGTCAGGTGCCTTAACGTCCAATTGCCTCAAATCAACCTGGTACCTTGGGACCGGAGACGCGAGCTGAATGATAATCAGTAATTAGCTTGGAATGATGAAGCTCAGTTAGACTCGCTTACTTGCAGGGGCCTCGTGTTGTCCAAAGACGCCTTTGTGTGGCTTTCTCCCGAGCATTCATCGCGCGTTTTGAGTGTTCTGCCGTGTCGAAGCAAGCGCCTTGTTCGTGAATTCTCCACGGGAAGACGAGAATATGGACACGCCATGACGGGTTAATGGAGCGTCAATGGGGCTGCACCTGAGCAATTACTGAGAGGGACTGATCTGGCTGAAGTTTTGCTATTTTGTGTTCCCACAAAATAACAAGTTCTGACAGAGTGGTGTGCTGCCGTATACATAGGATGATCAGCTGCTAGGCCTTTGGAAATGAAAAAGGGGCTGGATCAAACCAGGATGACAGCAGGCTAGTGGGGGCGTAGGGTTGGGTGGGTGAGTCAGCGTCGCTTTGATCCACGAACCAAAACAGGTGATATTCACTGACCAGCCATCTTACCTTCACCTGCACCCATGATCCAAAAAGGTGTGATAGCATGACTCGGACTTAATAAGGGGGGTCCATAGCTTATTTTGAGGTCACATACGAGTTTCAGGATGTCCCTTGCATAATTCAATTATCCATCTTTGTGCATGACTGTAAAGCTCTGTCGTGCTCACGGTTTGCATAATGGCTAAACAAAGACCCGCTGTGGTACTTCTTGAAATGCAAAAAGAACTAGGATTTCAAGTCAATCTCCCAAATGTTGAGACTCGAAAGGAAGAGCGTTTCTACGCGGATCTGTCACCTGTGGCCGACAATATTCTGGGTAGAACTGAAAAGGAACTGCAAGAACATCGAAGGCAGAGAAACCAGAAATGCCACACTGCCCTTGAAACTCCGCTTCCTACGTTAGGGGAGACTCATGTAAGTCCGCCCCATCCGTTCAGTCTATTTCCGATATCTGGCGTGCTTTTTGCCTAACTTAAGCACAGTCGCTTGACACCGAAGAAGCCAAAATTTCCCTGAAGCGTTGCAGTGATGTTGGATACCACGTTTTTTCGTTAGACGTTCAATTTTCGTTTGGATTGTGCCTACCTCTCCTTTTGACTGAATTCGAGGCGTCCCAGGTCAAAATGAATGCAAAGGTCTGACAGCCCTTTTTGGATTGGAAGTTCATCAGCTCAACAGCATGCAGCCTAAAAGCAAATCTATCAGAAGGGAATACGACAATACGATGAAACTCCCGCACGAACTTCGGCTAAGCATTATCGAATTCGCCATCCAAAGGCAGGAGTGGGAACAAACAGATCCGTCAGAGCTCCTTGAGGAAATCTTTCCAGGATCAATTGGCGACTCAAGCGGGTTTGGATTTCCGTTAAGCCGGAGAATCGGCATTCTGCTTGTCAATAGCGGGATGCGTCAGGAGGCACTACCCTTTGCGTATCGATCGATCCATTTCAAGTTCGATGATATTGATGATTTCATCAAATTTGCAGTTTCAATTGGTCGAATAGGGCGCAGCAATGTGGAATGCTTGGAATTCTGCTGGCACAGCATCAGCGAAATGGAAGCCACGCCGAACCGGAAAGATACTGGTTTGCGTTTACCTTTGCTTCACGTTTTGAGGTGCGTGCAACTATTGAAGCAGTTCAAAAGTCTTAAACAATTTCGTCTTGGTTTTGATGAAGAACTCTTATCAACAATTCCGTGTGAGGATTTCAAACTTGATTTAGGCATCCGAGAACTTTCTTCCATGCGGGGTCTACAAATGGTCGATGTTTGGGGATTGAATAGAGAGTCTCTGTGCGTCAGGTCTAACTCTGCTGGGTGGTTGAAGCAAATGATGGAAGAAATAATTTGAGCAGATACACAGTGAAATAAAAAAACAGGGAGCTCCGCAATTTTGCGGGATGTGTGTATGCCGATCTTTGGTATGAGTATAGTGCCCCATTCCTCCTATCGACCCTGGAGCAAGTCCAAAAATCTCTCCGTTTATTTGCAACATGTCCCGAAATTTACCCACCACAGCCAACGGATTAGCAATCAAATAAACCAACGTCCGCTGATTCCAAAGTTGACCATGATGTGTTGATTAAATATTAGAAGGATGCTCCTGCTACGTCCAGCGGTATGTTAGCCATGCTAGACAACTTCTCCTAGTATACATTGATGGCCCAAGGCTTTTTTGGCCAAAGTCCGACGATTAATTTCTAACCTTGACCACCCAAATTTTGACCTTGGTGCCAACCGCGAGTTGTTCAACGTGGCGCAGGGTACTTTAAGTGGTGCCTTTAAGGTGGTGTACGTTGTGGAAAGGGAAGAAATCTTTATCCAGGATTCCAAGAAAGGATGTGAGATCCAGGATAACGGAGGACATAAACTGACTATGTGTAGCCTCAACCAACAGGCACACCTATAATGCCGCGATTCCAGCACTGGCCGAGGTTGGTCATCAGACAAAATCCGAGAGGTGTTGAGGTGAGAAACCATCATCGGGCTGAACGGGCAAGCCATGAATATGAATGCATACAGTGGTATTGATATTAGTACCAGCTGTCAATTCATGCGACCATCCAGCGTATTCCCCAATAACACACGGAAGGACGTACGAAATGAGGCATCCAAGTGGGCGAGGAAAGGAGCATGAATGCCGCGCAATGGATAGGCCATATAGCCGATCTCCAAGGGCCACCTTCATCCAATGTGGCCGGCATGATTTGTGGCCGTGGGATCGCCGAGCAGCCCGGAACAACAGCGCACCGGCAGGAGATGCTTCGGCTTAGCAGCACCGGGTAAATCAGCTTTTGGGTTTTGTGTCCACGAATGATGGGGGGAGCCGAAAGTGCATTAGGACTAGGACAGTGTCCGCCATGGCAAAAAGAGGCGGAAGGGAACTGAAATTGGCAGTACGGAGCGTCAATGACAGCCGAAGCACACGGCCGTTGAGCCCGAAATGCAACTGATGGTGGATAATAGCGAGATGCGACTGCGAGGGAATCGGCGCCGGCATTGAAGGATACTCAACAGGGCCAGCCCGGTGACGCCGACTGAGGGAGGTAAAAGCTTGCTGTTTTTGCTTCTCGCGTGGATCAACACCAGTGATGATCATGCCAAATATTGCATCACGCGGGGACAGGTCGACCGATGCCAGCAGTTCGGCATGTTGGGTAGGAGAGCCGTCGGCCGACATACCAAGCATCGATTGTACTTGTGATTCCCGAATCGGTACGCGAACAACTACGACCGGACTAGAGGCCCGCAACTGTGAGATTCATCAGAGACTATAAAGCGCGCGCGTTTGCAGATTGGCGGAGCGGTTATTTCAGGGCTCATTATAAAAATTGTGGAGCAACTGGCCCAGTTGATTGACAGTGAAGCATAACACAGTTGTACGCTTGATCGCAAGGGCCAGTGCCACCGGACTAGTCGTATTCGGGGCAACCAGTGCGGTCGGTATGGGGGCTGATACACGCAACATTTGCGTTATCATCCATATCGAGATTTCCCGTTTTTCATTGGACTACGTACAAGAGCTTGGGCAAGCTGGCCAAGACGAGTTTCGCAGGAAGAGGATCGGACCATTCCCAAGATTCATTCCCGGCGTCCGACCCCATGGTTCTCATGCTTTGAAGCAGCTAGCAACAGACTGTGAAACAACTGGCTTTATTTCATTTGGTAGTGCTACATTTTCCTCGGTACCACTAATTGGATTAAATGCCTCCCGAGGGCCAGAAACCTGTGGTACAGCTGCGATATCCGGATAGAGGATATATTCTAGTAGCGTGAGCTGCTTCTGCTCTTGTGGGTCGAAATTTGCCGTCCATATGTAAAGCATGGTTTTTCGAACAGACTTTGGCCTGAGCGACCCTCGTCGATGATCGCAGAGGTCTCGAGCAGAGTTGAATGAACGATTTGCCCCTGCATTAAAACCATAGCCCGCTTCACTTATGTAGCGCTCAGTTTGGCGCCCAGTTTCAATCTGTTCAGCTATTGTAAACTCATCGAGAGATCTTTTGGGAGTTGGCAGATTCCTTTGATCAAAAGATCTGCAATCGTTCATAGAATCAAGGATCCAGACCCTGGAAAAAATGTACATCTGGCAGGGACATTTCAATAGATGCAGGCCCCTCTAGGTTAAGATCGAATGAACTTCCATCTAAGGTAGTTCTTGTTACAGGTAGAGGTGGACTGACAGCCTCTTGTACACATGCCCAAAGGACAGTTCGGTTTTAAAAGGTTACCAAGACAGACACTGAAAGCAAATTCTATCCGCTTTAATGGCGAATGGCCGTCAATCATTGAGTTGCGCGGCGGATGGCGTCTATTAGTCCCCAGCTCATAGATAAAATATTCTGCCCTCCTTGCAACCAAATATAGTAATCCAAACCCTCTTTGAAGAACTGAAAAATGAACCCGCGAAAAGATGATAACCTGACAGACCTTACTGACGCCATACCCTTATCTTGACAGAATCCAATAAATATGAGGAAGATTCTCCGAGAAATACATAGTCTCATGTGATCAGGCCATCGAATCTGTCAACTGCAAACAAAAGAAACCAGGTTTGAAGCGTAAAATACGGACGCAATCAGGGAGCATAGGTGCATCAACGAATGCCCCGACACAGCATAGGGCTTGGGTGAACGTTGACTTAGTATTAGAACAGACCCACGGAAGTAGAACCACCCTCCGATGCCGTTTACAAAAGCCATAAACGTATAAGATGCCATCAGTCGAGATATACTCCCAAGTACAGCGCTGTAGAGCGAGATGCTGCACAAGACCAAAGCTCCAAACCCTCCAATAATCAGCACTCGTTCTCTGGTTTCTGATGGCCAGGTTACCAAATGGGCACAGACCACCCCACCCAGCGTGACTCCTAGGACAATGAAATTGTTTTCCCCGCTGTAAGTTGCCTCTAAAAGCAAGACCGATACGGATGTCCCCCATATGTGTAGAATAATTCCAACGTAGTCCAGCAGGAAGTAGAAGGAAGGAAGCTGCTTTCCCGAGCCAAGCATGTAGTGACAGAAAGTAGAAATCCCAAAACAAAAGAGGTTGGTAAAGAGAGGAATCAAAGCTGGGATTGTACTGCTTATAGATGAAGGGCACTGAGACATATGGTAGATAAAACAGAGCAGGATGATGCTTCCACAAAAATGGAATTTCGGATTGACGTTGGTGTGGATGACTGTGTCTTGGGGCTTCGAAAGGCGGTAGCTGGCTTCCATGTCGACGGAATATGTCATCACTAAAAGCCTTTATGGGATGGATGATTTAGGGCAATCCAGTTAGACAGAAGGTTTTTCGAAATAGATGGGTTACAAGGTCTGTCTTTAAAATGGTGGCAGAGCCCGCGCAAAGAAGACCTTTTCTTAGGAGGCATATCTTTATTTCCTTATCACCCAAAGGTATTGAAACTTCTTAGTTTAGACGCTATTGCTACGAAAATGGGAATCCATTTGTGCTTAGAACGTAATCATGCTCCACTAATTGACTTTGGCTTCCGCTTCCATTAAGTTAGATCCGAAACATACTACGCGAAGGCATTGGGGTCAGTCTGCTGGATTGCAACCACCAGTCTCAGTGGTCGTCGGTGATAGCAGTTTTTACCTAAGCCATATCTATCTGCGACCAGGGGTAAATGTGGTTCACTTGGGCATTCTTTTATTTATGTTTAGTTGCATCTCTTATGTTTCAGGACGACCGATCGGAAAATGCTCTAGTAAGTCTCCTAAAACACTCGCCCAGTGGGCTGGCAACAACTTTTTAGCTGCCGTGTTTGGATTCTATCTATTGAGTGAACATTTATATTCCTTGTAGTGTTTCCGGACGTTATCTCTTGGTGCGGATTTTGTCTTACGTATGTCACAAAGAAATGGCTCCGTATGCCCCCAATGTGAGTCAGCCAGTTTCCTGTGAGCAGCTTTAAATTGTCGATAAACGTACTTCCCAGCCGCTGCGTACGGGCATTCGGATAACCTGGAAGGTAGAAACGTACCCGGATAAATTCCCTGAAATTCATAAGAAGGCAAGAAAAGCTGGAATGGAAAGTGAAACCTACCTCAAATCACATTTAAAGGCATAAGCCCTAAGCCGTTTACACCTTTCTTATAGACAACAGAGCCTTCCCCATGAGCTGAAGTTCGATGACTTATATGGAGCTATACAACTTCTGTGGAGCTTCATCGAAAAGACATACAATACAACAAGCAAACTCGGTGGTGGTCTCGAGAGATTTTCCGGTCGCGTTGCAGCTTGTCAAGCAGGTCCTGGGGATGGGCTAGAAGGGTTTGCAATTGCGGGAGCAGTCGAGAATACCATGACAAAATTCTCCAAACGACAGTCGAATCCAATTCCATGGCAGAGATGAGAAGGAACTGCCTAGACATGTACAGGAGCTGGTACGCCAAGAAGCTTCAACAACTTAGAGATACGTACCAGTCCAGTTGTTCCTTTTCAGGTCCTCCAATAGCTTTTAGAATTCCAATAAGCGTTGAATTGATGCTTCACACTAAGTCGGCCTCGAAAAAAGTCTTAAAATATCAGCACAATAAGCTTCCTGCGGTTCATAGCCAGTAACAAGAAGCAAGTGCTAGACTATGTCACATATGTAAGGACTGTGACTCCTTTTCCGGTCAAACTTGCGACAAGAATTGCAACGACCGCATCTGCACCCTGCACAGCCGCCTCGTCCTTTATTAACCCATTTTAGATGGATAAATTCTTCTCGCCCGGCAACAAAGCTTTTTTAGAATGCCTCCGACAAAATAGCGTCCAAAGGGAGTTGGCGTCCGCCATGGACCGTGATTTTATTCTAACGTTATCTGTTTTTCATTCTTTCTTTTTTTTTTCCCTTTTTTTGTCTTTCTTTTCTCTGTGCGTGTTGGGGATTTTCTTTGCAAATATATCTACACACTTCTTAGTACAAAACATTGCTAGTAAGGGTATGGGGCTATAGCTGATTTCGAATATTACTATATTTAACGATACATTCGACACTAATCACGTAGCCTTAATCTACTCATGATTTCAACACACCTGGCTGACAAGATTCGTTACCTAGATGTATTGCAAGGAGTTGATGCGGTAGCTCCGCTGTCATCAACGCTCAAGCCCATGATCCCAGTTGCCTCCAGCTCGTCGTCCACAATCGAGGTGTACCGCTTTGCGTTCTCAAAATGGGCAAAACTTCAAACGATAAATCCATCCTTCAAAATGGCAAAAAACGCGTCTCCCAAGCTCATGCCACACCTGGATAAACAATTGGGTCTACCTCGGATAATAGGGGCTCGACGGTGGGCTCAACAAAATCGTATGTCTTTCCATCTAAATAAGACTTGGCCAACTTTTGCCGTATTGTGTGCATAATAGGTTTCCAGCCACTCGTCCTTAATAGAATTACATAATGCAACAAGGCCCTAGAGGCTGAAAGAACCCTCTGACCACACCGAAACAGTTCAACTGGTTCAAACGATGGAATGCTGCCGCTTTTTTTACCAATAGCGATGCTTGGTTTCGCTTATTACCTTCCTTGAGAAGCCCAAGTAGGACGACCGTCGGTTGTGTCATGTTGATTGCGATAAAGCTGTTGAAAGTTGCCCTAGCAGGATCGTGTACATATGGGAGTTGATCAACATAAGGGTCGGGCATTTAAGTACATTTCTTACCGGTTGGCTCAGAGGAATAGTTGCAAGAGTTCCTGGAATAGATTTTCCAAGATTGAAATGCTTCTTTCGGCGGTGAGTGGCGCAAGCAGTAATTTAAGGATTTACTCAAACTGCTAGCTGGGGACCTAGCAAGGAACGTAAGGGCTACGGGTTCGAATCCTGTCACCGTCACAACTGTTACCCTGAGGTACCTGCCGAAGAAATCCTACGCTCTGGTTGACTTAGCTAGAGTCTGGATGGTAGACCCAGGGTAGGGGTAGCTTGCTGTGGACGCATAGACGGCGGGCGGGGGAAACTGTCGCCTATCTTAGCCTTTCAGCTCACCTAGAAGTACTAAAGTTAACCATTAAATTCGGGCCGCTAGGAAAAGGATGTCCCCTTTATGGAAGCTAGATTGGTGTAACCGTTTGATATGTGACAACAAAATATAATCCGAGTTCCGGGGAGCGCCCTGGATGGTCACAGAGGTGAAAATACAACATACTGAACAATCGGTCACTCGGTCGCTTCGAAGCACTAAGACTATTCACTCGTTATTGCGTCTGATCTTCCGGCATTAGGGAAAGGCTCCTTGTGGTGTAAACCCGAGTGCACCGACCTGCACAGCATTGCCGTACGCTTAGGCTAGCTAGCTCCAACAGGTATAAGAAATATCATCATCACCATCATCAATATACTTCTTTCGTACCGTTACATATTCAACAATTTCAACCGACGGCAAAGTCCTGTAACCTAGAACCTATTGCAAATAAACATGTAGAATCTCTCGGGAATATTGTGTCATCTCGATGGGCTCGGAACCAGCCATTCCAGCAAAATAATTTCCATGTGACTAAATTTTAGTATCCATGAACTTCCATCTTGAGGACTTTCGTGGACGTATCTACGAAAGCCACCTGTAAATGGATTGTTGAAGTGAACGAAGACAGTTTCAGTAGCTACCAGTCACGACCTACTGCGGACGCCATAGGTATAAAGAACTGCGTTTCCTCGGGACTAGAAGGCCCTCCCTCGCTCATGCCATCACGAGGTCTCCAGGGCCGGTGCCGAGTCAAGAATGTTTCACGGTCACGGGGTCGATAGTCATAAATTTTTAAAAACGGATTCTCCGCTTATTGTATACTGGAGACCTTCACATTGGGAAATTGACTTTGGATTGGAGAGTTGCGTTGTTTTCCTTTCTCCGTTTCCTGAGTAGTTGCTTCGAGTTGACACAGGCATCCGGAAATATAGTATACCATACTCGGTGTGGGCGTTTTCTAAAGTTGTAAGTAGTGATTATTTCGGAGTTCCTTCTCTTCAAGCATGGCTAAATGGGGCGCCTGACGGCCGGTATTGGGTTCCTTCAGGAAGCGCTAGTGAAAGTGTCATGCGCGCCGGTAATGACAATTGGATAATTGTAGGTTTTCCTAGGGACAGGGCTCACTGCCTGTGATTAGGCCTTTACGATAGTTGGACCACAGGGCCAACCGCCTAGGGAGAGAAAACAGCCAGAAAGCGCATTGGGGAGGTATGGGAGAGCGAGACAAATGTCGTAAATTGGACCGGTCATATTCCATTAGGCCGGTGGCTATGTAGGGGGAGGAGGGCAGAAAATCATTCCCCGTCGGCCTCCATGGGCAGGGGCCCGGACTGCTTAACAAGGCAGATTGCGAGGCGTCTCGTTGTCAACGACAAGGGTGCTATTCGATTCGCATGCGATCACAGGCGAGCCTGGGCCTGCCCACAATTCATGTATGGAAAAGACAAGTTGGTGCTGCTCATTTGCACCCAGGTGACTCACTCGCTCTAGCGCCTCCTCTTTTCCTCCTTTTCGGTCGTATTCCCACTGCCTTTTTAAAGTGGACCGACAATAGAAGCGGTGATGGTTGTTCTAGATTCTACGATGAATTCTTCTCAGCATTATTCCAAACCATCGAAAAGGTGGCGACGAGGGAATGTAGCGAGGAGACTTGGAGTTCGGGGTATGGCCATCATCTCCTATCTCCTATGAGTGCCATGGGTATTTCGTACACATCTTTCAGAGAGCTGAGTTACAAATTAGAGACGCTGTAGCGTATATAAATCGCTTGCTCAATAGCTCTGAATCATACAATATACAAGGGAAAAGATAACGTTCTGGGATATTAAAAGCGGTCTAGTATCTCATTCAAGAGTCTCGGTCAGTATGGGCTCCGGATATTAGTGCACGCTACTATTATGCACAAAAGGCTCAGAGCCAAGACTCTTGCGTACATGATGGGAAAAGAGCGTATTCTGTGGTAATTGGACGCTGATGGGATTGTAGTCCGGTGACGTGGCTACCGGGCCCAAATTATTCCCCAACGCCTGTCAGCCAAAGGTTAGGCGCCCACTACAGTATTAAGCTTGATGGTCAGTGCAAGGCACGTATCCTTCGCTCAGCTACCCAATACGCCGAGGCGAATTCCGCTTTCCCAATCCGTCAAAAATTTTCATCCTGTGATATAAATAACCGTTCTGTTCCGAATTTGATTCTCTTCCCTCAAACCTCTCTACTTTTCATTGCAATATAACGAACCGATTCTTTTCGCCATGACCACTATACCACGCGTCCCTGTTCATACTCACAAATCCGTTAGAGAAACCGTTCTCATCCCGCTGGAGGAAGTGAAATCCGCTGGCATTAAACTTTGTAACGGACGTTTGGAACCGCGAGAGAGGCCCTCCGGTGATCGGTCCATCAATGTCGTTTACATTGTCGCTACTTTAAATAAGGGCAAGTTGGCCAATATGGATGAAGATATGCGGAAAAAGCTCCACACGATTCGCTTCGGCAAGTCGGCAGCTTCGATCAACTTCCTCGGCACTTATGGTCTGCCGGTCTCCTCCGGTCAACCTGCCCAGCCGAAAGGCTTTTTTCAAGGCGTAAGTGGCGCCGCCGGGAAGACGGGTCGCATTGGGAACGCTTTTACGGCCGTTCAAAATTTCCAACTTCAGACAACCCCACGAATGGCCATAGGCAACGAGCTGGCCTCCGCGATCACCAACGCGGACGTGCATATTTTTGGTGGGCAGGAAGCGTGCCCGGACATGGAGACTGAACCGGCATATGAACCAAATTATATTGCCTACTTTTATGCTACCCAATCTCCTGTGGAACAGAGCAAGCGCTACTGCATCGCGAAGACCCCCGGACTTATGGTGGTCAAAGAGGCAGTTGACGAGGCCATAAAAAGAAATGAGCATCGTCACCGGGAACGCGACGACTGGACTGGTGGCAAAGTTCTTCAAGAGCTGGGAATTGTCGAGAGCGACTCCAATTGGCACCCAGAGCTTGGCCCCGCGAACCAGGACCGATTTTTCTATTCCGATCAGGGTTATAAAAAGCTGGACTTGCCTCAAGCGTGGTTTGAAATTGTCACCGCTGAGCACGCCCCCACTTCGTCGCTCGACGGCCACTCCTCCGAGGAGGTTTGATGCGCTTGTTGGTCAAGCCCCTCGTGGAGGAGCTTGCTTGCGATCTATCAGCTCCTCCCGTTTCTGATTTGTATGAGATTCTTCCTGTTCAGTGCTCCTCTCTGGCTCCTATCAATCCTCCTCCGTATGGCTGTCGCCTTTTCGCGTTTCTTTGATAGGTTATTCCTCGCAAACACATGCCAGCACAGACCGCCAAAACCTCAGAATGTGGCCGGATCTCAGATAGAGTCAGTAGCTTCAAATACTTTTCTTCTCATGATTGTTACGCGAATAGTACGTAGCCCCTTTTGAGTATACCGAAGAAGGCAGGAGACTGGAAGGAAAATTCCCTCCGAGAGGGGAACTGAAAGCAGCTCTTTCCTCGTCGTTAGCTCTTATTTCCCTACCGTAGCTCTTGGACGATACTTGGAAGAAGCACAGATACCGTACAATGTCTTTCATAATGTAATGGGTAGGTGTTCTCTGGCGCGCGGTCATTCACTCTCTGTGAGGCCAGTCCCTTCCCGTCGTCCGATAATCGGCAAGACGCAACCTACGTAGGTGTTTCATGGAGAATAAGGCTTTTATCGTGCCTCATATGGATAATAATCTCGCACTGTCATAGATTGGTGTCACCTGCCGATTTTCGGTGGTTCATGATGTTTGATGCGTGAACAAGGCCACCGCAATCCGAATGATGTCAATGAAGGTGTATGTCATATTTGGACTCAACATGCGCAAAAGCACGTGACTAAAGGTCAAATTTGGACTTTTTTGGGGACAGATCTGTTACAGGATCGTCCGTTTTGTAATTTTACATATCGCATTAGTACAGTAAATAATGTGTCCCCAGAGTTTCACGAGCGAGCGTATATCCAGTTCTTTCACACGCAAGGAGGGATCAAATTTTTCGTGGACTGTGTTGTGATTCATCCATCTACGAAAGGGACGAGTTCTTATTACTCCGAAGGATAGGTGGTTATGAGCCATGTTGGGTTTAACCGAACTATAAGAGATATGTCGGAACAGACGTTAGCAGTTCTCGCTATGAAATATACACAAAAGCCAACGTAGTTTTGGATAAAATTAGAGGATGTCGATAGGTGAGTAGTATGAGACAATATAACTTTGCTTTATCACAATTATTACCCGCATTAGTCACTTTGTGGGTGTTTGGTTCCAAAGTATCTTGAGGTTGAGCGGGTGCGGCGGGAAGCGGTAGCAGAGGGATGGACATTACCTTATTTATTTTGGAAGGGGCATATGAGAGTGAAAAGGGAGTCACGAGAGTCAATATTAATTTAACTGCAAGCGAACATCTCATGCTTCTCCCAGTATACACCCTCTAGTGCGTTCTGCCCACATCATTGGTGGCGATTCAAATAGATTGTACGAGGACTCGTCTTTCAACGTCGATCCTTTTGTGACGTTAGTTATTTTATCACGCTCGCACATTTCAATATTACCAGAGCTGACACAAATACCAAGTATTCTAGACGTATAGTGCTGTTATACGTACTCGGATAATCGCGAAGGGGATTCGGAAATTTCTCAAGGTCTTCAGCATGAAGACTAGCTGAAATGTGAAAATCAAGCCTCTCGTTCTTTTTTGTGGTCACCCCGAAGATATTCACAGCCGGCGTGTGAAAAGCTTCCTGCTTTAGCCCCCCTGGCTCCGATGTGAAGGAGAACCCTGATCGATCCTTAAAGCTTTTTAAACAACACTTCAGGGCGTAATCTGCTCGATCATCTCCTTGCCCACGGTAATGATGGCTTTTGCATAAAAGAACTTCCGATCTCCTTCGACCATATGGCACACAATTTGGTACGTACACCTTCCAGAAGTAGGCCATGACATACCCATGTTCCTCAGTCCCAGCCTCGGTGGGGTCATAGTGTAGGTAATGAGTCCTGACGGGTTCAAACCGAACTGTTCTAATCTGGCCGGTCGGAAGCTGAAAAATATTTATAGAACCAGAAGGCTAGGGAGCAGTGGTCCTCTGCATATGAAGCTGTTGAGCAGACTTCGAAGATGACGCGAGAAATCATGCATCAGATCGCCCTCTTATTTCTGAGAATCCTTCGAGATAAGAGTGATATACTTAGACGAGGTGGGAGGGCTAAAAAGCCATATGTCCGACAAAGAGGAATATAGCTCTAGGTGAAAAACTGGGTTTACAGGTTGAAAATGAGGCAGATTCCCAAATATAGAAGAAAACGCAGCATCGTCGTGGTCGCGAACCAACAACAGAAACAAGGCAATGGTTGTAGGGCGTCTGCAGTAAGCCCGGGCATAACGAAGCAAAGCATCAGGTAGTAGCACAGACATCTGAAGCAGACTAATCACATTGATTTCAATTGGTTCTAGACGTTGTGATTGATTTCTTGATTGAAAGCATTAGGTAGTCGTGGCGGGGTGGCCAACTCCCTTTTCCGGCCAACTCTTATCAAATACGTGTTCCTAGATAATCGAAGAGGAGAGATTCTAAAGATCTGGGACTGCCTGAATTGACAGTGAGCTATGACAAACTGCAATATCCGCTGCTATATAACTCCACGCGTAAGACTTCATGGCGTAAGCGAATTGCTTCAATATAGGCGCCCACAACCCGGTCCAATGGGCCTACTTTTTCCACTCGCCGAAATCGAGACTGAAGGTCTTACAAGAGAAGGCAATCAATCTGGTCGCTTGCCGTGGATTGATAAACAATTTCTGTCGTGGAGTTCGAAGGCTTCTAGAGCTAGATCTTTGCCGTCCTGTGAAATATAAGACATTCTCTCCCACTCCTTGTCCTTTGGTATAGCCTCCAATCCGTTCATTGATAGCGATACAAGCTCGCCTTCAACCACATTCATATTCTTCAGCTGAGCTTTAGAAGCCCGATAAAATGCTTGATACCCCATTGGACTCAATATGATGTTTTTCAGGTCGGTATTGCCGCTTTTAACGCTGGCGAGGAACAATATTCTGAGATTTCTTTTCCTTCATAGCATTCAGAGGGCCTGAAAAATTTACTTGCCGACTCAAGCGCCAAGTCTTGCGAGTTTGACATTAGCCACTTCCTCTTAAATTACACTGCGCGGAGTGCAGAATTGTCTCAGTGGATACCAGCCGACCGCACCCCCAGTGGTCTCCCACTTTCCTCCTGCACTCAGTAGCCAAGCCTTGCTCTGAACGTGTAGTATCTCTGACTCGTTATCGACGTTTCGAAATTTGACGAAACTTGCTGATACGCGCTGTGGAACCGTGCCCAGAGTGAAGCGTTGGAGAAATCCATGCAGAGGCACATTTTATTGATTGATGTTATCAGAGGCTATATCTCATACGAGAAATCAAGCAAATGTGAGCAATATCCCGTACAAAGAGCAGTGTTGCTCAAGAGGCGTCCAGTATCGAGCTCGAATACAGCAACATCTCATTCATTTTCTTTAAGAATTAACCCGTTCGCTAGAGATGTTTCATTGTAGAAGTTTGCATATATCCAAACGAGCCAATTGCAAGGAATTTTTGACCTCTCAAGAACTCAGTCAGTTGAACGTGAGCTAAGGTACTATCTGCCGTACGCCACAAGACCTACGACCGGTCCAGGGCTGCTATTGGTATGAAAATTGGGCGTAACAGAACACCTTCATCCAGTAACCACCTTATTGGTATGTGAATACGACGGGAGAATGCAATCCTTGTAAGAGTGGGCCAGGGAGGGAGACCAGCAAGATTCTTTCGGCGCTTCGTATTTAGAGTGAAAGTGGAGGAAGACTTTCTAAGAATCCCAGATGCCATAATGATAAGACGAGAGGCTCACATAAAGCCGCGTTGCCTAGACAATAAATTACGTGACGATCTTCGATCTCGTAGGAATTACGAGATTTCAATCAACCGATGTAATACCCCCTCCCTTGGTAGGAAGGTGCCCACCCTTTGAAAAAATAAGACCACTCAACAACTAGGCACTGTCCTTGCCTACAATGGGACCACAAAAACACCGCGTTTATAAGCGGGCTGGTGAGCTCGCTGGGGACTTTGGTCACCTCGAACCATGCCTCGAGCTGTCGGTCACTTGATTGAGTTGGAGTATCTTGGAGGTAGCCTAGTTCGACGGCTTAGCCCTAGTAGTAGATGATTCGCGGCCAGATACCTGTTGGGAAGAAGAGAACTTGTACCTGGATCCACCTCAAGAGATTTGTCAGGAGACTGGGACGGATAATGCAGGGAAATGAAAGGAGTGGACGGATGCAAGGTGGCGATACATACTTGGCAAATTGTGGTATTTCGTTGGATCTAAGAGCACGCTGAGAAGGCGACGTACACGGCATGACCCCGTGGGGCGAAGACATTATCACTGTATGCACCGGCGTAGTTACCTGCGGGTGAATAGTTGCAGACAGTGAAGGGGAGAGAGCCGATAGGGTCGATTTTTCCGAGGCCGTCGCACACCACGGTAGCGCAGCCAACGTGGGTGGTGCCCTTCCAAATGATCTGGGAGAAGTGACCCCACCTCTCGAATTTGGTCATGCTGGGGTCAGATTGCCCGTAGGGGGTGGGGAAGTATTCTATCTCGTCGTTGTACATCACGTTGGTGAGCATGACACCGATCTGGCTTGCCTCGACACCATAGCCGATGTTCTGGCCGTAACCACCGCCATTAATGGAGCTGGGATAATGTTACATTGGCTTTAATATTGGAGGGTGAAAGTGGGAACTTACGTGTCGTGTTCGTAAACACACTTGCTGGCGAGAGCGCGGGCGCTCGTCTCAAGATCGACAGACCAGCCGACGGGAGGGGCGGAGTGGTTGCTACGGTGAATGTTGTGATTGTACAGCACAGCTTGCTGGTAGGCGTTGGCGGCGACGGCAGTGGTGGCGGCAGAAGTCGAAATAGCGGGGGTGGACGTAGCGGATGTGGTAGATTCGGGCTCGATGGTAAAAGCCCATGCAGTTGACCAGTAGGAAGTGGACTCGCCGGCGGCTTGGACCTCTCCGGCACTGGTGATAGGCGCAGAGGTGGGCATGGAGGTAGCGGGCGCACTCTCCAAAATAGAGATAGAAGACATGACCGACTCGGAAAAAAATTACCGTGGACTGCTTGGGGAGATTGAAGCGCTCGCAGTCGATAGCGGCCGCAGACAAAGTGGTGGTATCGTACCCCACCTGAGCCTGGTTGGCGGGAGGAATGATTTCGGTGACGGTGGACGCCGTGACAGCCTTGGTGGCAGTGATAGTGGTCCAATCAATTATGTAAACGCTCTTCTCGTAGGCGTTTACCGCACCAGCTGCCAGAGCAACAAACAAGAATGTCGCACGCATGGTGTTACCAGATCAAGTCGCGATCAAATAGTATCGGAAGTGCGGTATTCCTCCAAGAAGTAGAATATAATGCAAATCGATTGTTGGAGTGAAGATGTGAAACATGGCACTATTCAAAAATACACAGATGAACACTTTGTTGAAAAAAGGGCCGACCCAATATTGACACACAAGATGCCGATGTCCCACGCTGTTATATTGGGCTTCGAAGTATCAAAATCACACCACAGTAGGACTGCTAATAGAGTGTGGCGCCTCAGCACGAGCTGGATTCTACGATTATTTTTGTGTTCTTCTTTTGCCATCATTAATGTATATCTTATCGTGTGATCTACTATGTCCTAGTCTATTGAGAGATTAAATGCCCCAGACGATTTTGTTGCTCTTCTCAAGAAATGCTTGGCACTTGTGCCATATTTAGCAAATTAGCTCCCACTTGCTCTCCATATAGTAGCAACATTTTATGACCTATATACTGCTCATTAAATTTGCAGACTGCTTAATAACAGGATTTTCGAATTTGTGCTTGATATTTTGTATAATAACTCCATAGCCATCGGTACAGCTTCTAAACGTCTGCCCATACTCAAGGTTAGGGTATCTAGCTTCGACTGATCTATTGCGTTCCAAGCTTCCACCAGGAATTTTTTATTTAAAAAATGCCAATCAGTCTCCTTTCTTCCCATGCCAAAAAGCTCTAGAAAGAGGTCAAAATGTTTCAGTGGTAAGTAGCGCTATCCCGGTTCAATTGGGTATAAATTAGGTGACTGCGCGGGTCAATCCTCAACAAATACTCCCCGCGTTTTAAACCACTCTTTCGTCAACTCTGCTAGGTGAATCTTCGCTTTATCATAATAAAATACTATCCTAGGGGTATATATTGATAGCAAGCCTTATTCCAGCGTTTCGATATACGATTTTCTAGTGTACCCCCCCTTTTCTCCCTAAGGATGGCGAGTCTACGTTCTATTGCATAGCTATCAATCCTATCCGGCCACTAAGCCAGATTCTAGCCTAAACAATTTGCGAAGTATTCTCTACCTGTATCTTTGCATTTACAAGGTCCTTTCGAAAGCCTTCGGAGGTCCTACGGAAGCACCCTCTGGTCCAAACTTCGAGGGAACTTACGTTGCACCGGATACTCGTCCGAAAAAATCCACGACTAAACGCTTTCACGCCGCCATTTTCTTGCAAGATTTAGCCGTTACTTTGCAAGAGAAGGTTTGATTAGTATATAATCTTGCGTTTCGACCGGCGTTTGGTAAACCGAATAACTCCAAAACTGCCGTGTAGTGGACCGAGGAGGATGACCGGGTGTCGCAGCACTTAACGTTAGCTATCTATAGGTCCAAACCAAAACGAGTGTCGGCACGCTTGCAAAACAGGAAATAGTAAGCCCAAAAGCTAGCTTAGCGGGACGGCCGGTCGAGGAAGTCATTTGGAGGTTTTATGCTGTTTATAGCGTTTAAGCTTATTAATAATAGCTTTGCCCGTAACGTGATTCCCAAGCGAGCGGGCATCCCAAGCGAGCTGCCATCGAAACAACTTTCCATTGCGAAGCGCCACCAACGCTTCCCCCGACAGACCGCTTCTCATTCCGCGAAGCTCCATGGGCCGATATCAACAGGGAGTTAAGAGACCTAGAGACGGAAATCATCGATATCACAGACTCTCTGGAGCTGGACGCGACTGTGGGGCGCTTGACTGGTCGGATAAGCGCAGCAATTCGCCAACTGGCCCCGGTTGCACGGCCATCTCCATACGGCAAACGATGGTGGACTCCGGAGTTGACGGCATTGCGAGACACATACACATGGGCTCGAAATCGGCGCACGCAAGCTCGCCGGTATGGAGTCGATCTTGCTGCACTAGATGACACCGCATCGTACCTACGGAAACAGTACCACCGAGCAATCCGTGACGCCAAGCGACGGCATTGGAGAGAGTTCCTCGATAATACTGACAACATTTGGAAAGCGGCACGATACCTCCAGCCGGGATCCCTATCCATGGGGATAGTCCCCACACTGCGCTCGGGTGAGCAGACGATCAATGACGACCAGGGAAAGGCCCATGCACTCCTTGAGACCTTCTTCCCCCCGCTGCCCAATGTCCAGGACGAGCCCCCCAGAGACAGGTTGCTGCCAGACGCCCTCCCGATGGAAACGATCACTAAACACGAGATTGAAGTGGCTCTGATGAGAATGGCATCGTGGAAAGCCCCCGGACCAGACGCGCTGCCGGTGGTGGTGTGGCAACAAATGTGGCCTACCGTGAAGCACTGGGTCGTCGAAATCTTTCAAGCGTCACTCCGACTCGGCTACTTTCCTCGCGCTTGGAAGGTTGCTAAGATCGTGGTGATACCCAAAGGTGGACGTGACTCATCGTTGCCGAAATCATACCGCCCTATCTCGCTGTTGGCGACGCTTGGAAAGGTACTAGAAGCAGTCGTCGCCAACAGAATCTCCGCCCTTGTCGAAAAACACCAGCTACTGCCGCTGAATCATTTTGGGGCTCGTCGGAGGCGATCATGCGAACAAGCACTTAACATATTAATAGAAAAGATACACGATGCGTGGCGCGAGGGCAAAGTCCTCAGTCTCGTGAGCTTCGATGTCAAGGGTGCCTATAACGGTGTGGATCGGAATGTCCTATTGCGGAGGCTGCGAGAACGAAGGGTCCCGGAGGTCCTGATCCGATGGGTTGATAGTTTCTGCTCCTCGCGACGGGCGTCGATTGTCGTGAACACGTACCAGTCCGAGGAAATGGCCATCGAGCACGCGGGCCTGCCGCAAGGCTCGCCGCTCTCTCCTATTCTCTTCCTGTTCCTGAACGCAAATCTGGTGGATGTGTCCATCACTAGAAGAAAGGGAGCAATCGCTTTCGTCGACGATTATACACGATGGACGGTGGGCTCGTCTGCTGAGGCGAATACCACCGTACTGCAGCGGAAGGTCATCCCACGAGCGTTAGAATGGGCGGCGCAGTCTGGCGCGGCTTTTGAGGCAGAGAAGACATCGTTCACCCACTTCACGAGGAACCAGCGGCAGCGCCAACTTCCCGCGGTCCCGCTACACGTGAATGGAGCGACTGTCACCCCGGCGCCTGAAATCAAGATTCTCGGCGTGATAATTGACCAGGGGTTACGGTTCAAATCACACATCGGAAAGGCTGCAAACAAAGGGATGAAAGCCGTCCTTGCACTGAGACGACTGCTCGGTTTACCCCCTTCAGTAGCTCGCCAGCTCTTCACCTCCACGGTCGCATCGAAGATTGACTACGCAGCATCGGTATGGTGCCCTATACGACAGGATGCTATTGTTGCGGCGGGAATCGCACGGCCGTTCGAAGTCATCCAGCGAGTCGCGTCTCAGGCGATCGTGGGCGTGTTCCGAAGCACAGCCCTCGCCATCGCCGAGGCAGAGGCGGGGATTGAACCAACTGTCGTACGCCTTCGAGCACGCATCTTGAAGCATTGGATTGTCTGCCACACCTTACCAAAGGATCACCCCTTCTGGTCCTGTCGAGCGGCGGCCGCCATGCAGGATGGGAGGTATCTATCACCGTTCAAAATACTGGCGAAGCACGGACCCCAATGCTTGTCTGACATGGAGGTCATTCGACCCTTCCCTCTAGATCCGCGGCAACGGTCTCTTGGGGAGTTGATTGCCACCGTCGGATCCGACATGCAAGAGTTGCACGAAGCCGGCCATGCCCGTCTCTGGTTGTTCACCAGTGTCAGCGTCCGCAATGGTCTGGTCGGAACGGGGCTAGTAGTTCGTGTTAATCAAGTGGACATAGTCTCGTCAAATCGGACCGTCGGCACTGAAGACGCACTCAATGCCCACTTCGCACAGCTGGGGGTGGTGTCAGAGGCTGTCGCGTATGTTAAAACGATGCTCCCTCGTATCCAGATGTCACCGTGGAAAGTCCAGGTTACGATCGTTGTGAACAACCCCGCCGTCCTGCTGTCGCTTGCAAAGCCACGTCTCCAAGGCGGACAGGCTCTGATCACTCAGATCACGGAAGCACTCAACCAGCTGTTGGAGATGGGGGCTAAGGTCAGCCTGAAGCCACCAACAGATAAAGACTGTGAGAAAACTACACGAGCACATACCCTCGCACGCAAAGCAGCAGAAGTGAACAGCGAGGTTAATCCCCCGCCGTGGGCGCGAGTCCAGCTCCGGGCGTCGGCGTTGCGATGGGCTCGGGCGAATGTTAAACAGCATCGGAAGGACAACTTCCAACTGTGGACAACCGGGCAGTTCACACGCCAGCTGGATTCAGCTCTCCCAGGACCCCACACGAAGATGCTGTATGATAGCCTCGATCGAGAGAAAGCATCGATACTAGCTCAGCTCCGCACGGGACATGCCAGACTGAATGGATATCTTCATCGAATCGGCAAGACTGATAGTGATTTGTGCGAATGTGGCGTCGAGCGCGAAACAGTCCCACATTTCTTGCTTCGATGTACACGGTGGAATGAACAGCGTCGCGCACTGATTGAAGCCGTGGGTCCGAACCTCGGCAGTTTGTCGCAGATGTTAGGAGGTAAACCTGAGATTGTAGGGGATGCGAGTGAACCGAATGATAGAGCATGGAAACCCGACGTCAGGATTGTCAGAGCCGTCATCGCGTTTGCAATGGAGACGGGACGGCTGGCTCCTGAAGGGTGAGGAGGAAGATCTGAACGAGAAATTACGCATGTGGTTACGCTATAAAATGTACATATCATACGGAGCAGCGCACACTAGCTAGGGGGCTACATACGACCTAAGGTCGTGAACAGCCTGAGGAATATTATTATTATTATTATTATTATCCCAAGCGAGCGGGCACCCCATCAATAATTTCAATTTTTAAACACCATTTAAACAACCATAACAGAATATATTTAACTTAACTATGCTTTAAAGCATTTATTAAAAGAATGCCCTTTCTGATTACATCCAGAACAGGTAATTTGACGACGTACAGGGGGTAAAACAGGCAAGAGGGGCTCCTCCGGGAGTGATGGACCAGGTGGTGTATTAGATATATATATCTGATCACCACTACCACCACTCACTTTAGCGACCGTATCACTTGTCAGGCTACCCTGGTAGGATAGCTGCTTTGTGGATTTGGCCCTTTTTTTCATTTGTTTTGCATTCGCTGCCCGTAATCTCTTGATCTCATCACCCTGTAAAACGACCGTATGCAGCATCTTAACTGTCATTTTGTGATATTGCGCAAGTTCACGTTTTGTAGGGCTAGATAGCTTATTTGACCCCCCACTCAATTGCGAATCAATCCTAGCTTTGCGTTTTGCTAGTTGGTTGGAGTTCTGAGGGATACCAGTTGAGATATTGCTATCTGAGGTTGACCCCTGTGACAATGGACGATCCGGGAGCGTAGGTGATGCAAGCTGAATATTGAGATGAGACAACACCCGATCAGGGTCAAATGGCACAAGACCAGTAGCAGCGAAAGCGCTATGAATAATAGTCTTTTTAAATGCATCGCCACGGGCTTTAGGGAAGATATCAATGAAGTCATCTTTTTCAATAGAATTGATGCCTAATCGGGTATATCCTGCAACCCGACTCCCATAAGATCGCTTCAAAACAGCAAAACAACCAACATCAAGAGGCTGCAAAAGATGGGAAGTATGCGCAGGCATACAGATAGGTACGATGTTGTTTTGAGCGCAAATTTGATCAAATTGAGGTGTGAGATGACTGTTATGCCCATCAAGGACCAAAAGACGATATTTTCCTTTGGTTTGATTTGTTGTATGCGGAATGAAGTGTTTTTGGAGCCAATCAACACCTATTTCATCACTCGTCCATCCGTTTGGACTATGATTGATAGCCCAGTGTTTTGGAAGGTCATCAAACCATCGTAACATGAAGTTTTTTCCCTTGAAGATTATGTATGGTGGAAGCGCGTGTCCAGAGGCGCCAATTGATTCAACCACAGTCACCCATTCACGATTTCCAGGTTGTAAAACACCTCTCCGACCAGTATACACTGACTGAGTAATGATCTTAGTCGTCGCACTGATTCCCATCGCAAACCCTGACTCATCAAAGTTATAGATATCATCTGATAATATTCCATACTTGATGATAGTGTTTTGAAAGAGGTTAAACCACTCCGTGATGACCTTTGGGTCCTCCATCAGAGCACGTTTATAGTCATATTTGCGAGAGAATCGACTAGTAAGCTCGGAGTGCCGATTTAGATAGTTTGTTGGCCAATTTTTGCCCACTCTCTGAACCGGGGTCTCTCCGCGCTCTTTTAGCAATAAATTGGCCATATCTGCTAGCATACTGATCGTAAGAGCAGCACCTCGTTGATCCATGCTTATTAGCCAGCTCTTAATTGATTCTTCTTCAATTTTAGTGAGTTTATAGCCATTAGCCCGTGTATCAGACCGATTGGTTCTCCCATTGATCCGGGCTTGGAGAGTAGAGCGGGGCACCTCAAAAGAGCGTGCTGCTGCAGCAATCGTGGTAATTTGACCATTTTGAATAGATTTTATAGCCAGTAGGATCTTGCCCTCTTGCTCAAGCAATTTTTGAGCTTTTTGAGTTCGTTTTGGGGGCATGATGCGTGATTGAAAACAGTGGGTTGCTCGGGGGATGGAAATTTAAGGTGGGGTGCCCGCTCGCTTGGGATGCCCGCTCGCTTGGGAATCACGTTACAGCCAAAATCATTAGCAAGTTTAGACTACGAAACGCCTGCTTTATTAGTGTAGGCGATGTTCGATATGCGGTTAACATGACTGTCGCCGCATTACAAGAGGACTTTTCAGCTCCCGGACTATCTACTATCAGCGCCGCGCTTATTGATTTGACTGGACGACCTATCTTCTCGATGACTGGAAATGCTGTCAGTTGTGGCCGGATGCTGTCTTTGGCAAATTGTCTTGGCTTGAACCGTGATCCTAGCAACAGGGCTTAATTCAGCATTTCTTTTCTACGATTTGGTCCAATTTCCATTGAAAACCAGTACGTAGGGGTCGGTAGAAAGAAATAAAAGGTGGGCGGTTGGAAGGGGGGTGGGGGGATTTATCAGTGGGAAGTGGGTAAATATTTCTGACCTACATCTGTATTATAGGATTGATCCAGACATTGATGGATCAGAGCTGGACGTGAATACGCAAGAACGGTGGCTCAACCATAGTCCGTAGGCTGTGACTCAGTTCAAAATCGATGATTTGTCTTTTCGCCTTCTTGGACCGGATTTTTGACCGCCATTGTAATAGAGGATGGCAAGTCCGGTTACCTTTCGTAGGCTTTTCCGGCTCGGTGAGGCAGCCAAAGCCCGCTCAGACGTGTTTTGTCCATGATCTAAGCTCCGCCGTCCCCAGTGCTCCTAGTGGTGCTCTTCTCCTTTCGCGTTGACCGCAAGGCTATGGAATTAAAGAGACGTAGAGGAAGCCTTCTCTATGCTACCTTTGGTATTGTGGCAAGCATATTCGATAAGAACGCTAAACTCAACGTACACCAATTATAGGACGAACTGCGGAAAGTTCCCTTTTTCCATGGACTGTCCGCCTAGGTAGCTACGTTTAGACCGGCGGCGGAACAAGAGAAGTCGACAATTTTGCTTCGCCTCCGCAGCCATCGCAGCGGGAAGGAAAGACCATAGTACGTACAAAAGTAATTAATTTGAAGATATCATAGAGAATCATTTGGAAACAAATGTAGTGAATTGCCTTTGAACTCGCCCAGCATCGTCCCTGATGTTTTTCTTCTTGTTAACCTTTGCTGATCGCCGTTGGACTATATCCAGGGTTGGATTGAACCACTTGAAAAGCCTCCGATTTTGAGACTCGATCATGGTGTAAATTACACTTGAGTAGAGGGCTTGGAAATTTTTCGTAAGTCCAATTGATGGCTCACGACGCCTTCAGATTCAGCAACGGGCAAATTAACAGAAATCCACCTGTTTTAATGAATGAGGAGCTTTGCTATCCGAGTAAAGCCACCCTGTACAGCAGCATCGAGTGGAAGGAGTAAAGTCCATTGCTGGTAAAGGCTCTCATGCAAGGAGCCATCCTGCACAAGAAGCTTATTCTTGTAAGAGCCAATAGACTGGCCAGCTTTGTGGTTGAGCAGAAGAGACACGATTTCAAGGTCGCCATCGCTTTAGGTATGTGGGTCACCCCTTTCTTGACGGCATTCAGGTAACGACAGGGACAGTGGCCAAAATCTACAAAAACTTACCCTTGTCATCGTATAAGCAGAGTGGGATGCCGCGCTGGGCGCCGTAGTGTGTGTGAGTGAAAGTTTTAGTGATTGGAGATTGTAAGTGCCACATCAGACAAAGAACATGATAAATGAAGACAGTGTGTTTTCTCTGCTGTCCAGCTATCTAGATTCTAGCAGTAAGAAGAAGGCTGAATGCTTGCCGAGACATCCGAGGCCTGAGATTTTCTACATTCGTCACCGGATTCCACATTGCAACATATATCACTTAGACTTAGTACTGTCCCTTTGTCCACAATCCTATAATCAAATTGACATGACGCTTATTATTGACATTCACATTATTGCGTTCCTCCGACCTATCAATTGTTGCGAATGATTTACACCCTCAGCATTGCTTGCCCCGAAGAAAAGACCTCTTACACAGTGTAGTTCTGCGATAAGCATGACACGAACTGAGGTATTTTGGGCTCATTCTCCTCTACCCAGTACCTTCACTTCACACAACTTCAAGCCTGCTCAATCCACGTCCTGCTTTGCACGCAGTTATGCAATGTAGAATGTACGTAGTTATATCATCCGCGCCGATTACTTTGCTGTGTGAAGCTAAGCCGATTGAGCACTAGACTTTGCTAATAAGACCATGAGTAGTTGCCAGTGAAAGGAGATAGTAGGTCACAAGATCAAGAATGGGCACAGGCTAATTGTCACAGCGAATAAGCTTTATGTATGCCAAGCGCTTGGGTAGCACACCAACCGAAAGGATACAGATAGGACAGTATAGTAATCTTTACGAGTTCACATATTCCTAGACAGCTAGCTGCTGAGTTGGGACTGTACTTTGAGCCAACCACCTCAAACGCGGCGGGCGAACCCGAATAATCACTTGGACGTAAGGTGTATTGTAGACCATATTGCGGTGCAAGATCCCATCCCGCAGGGTCCCCAGACCATCGCACCCCACTGTATGCGAGCAAATGTCCTCGTGAAAAGCATCGACTTGTCCCCAGACAGGCCGTGGTGGGAAATGTGACGGGGAGAACCCAGTGGTATGAAGTTCCACCCACTCCATCCAAAACACACCTAATTGCTCCCTGATATACTCAAAAATATCTGTTATCCCTGTTGAGACACCCATGACATTTGGACCCTCCCATTTGACCAACGGAGATGCTGGGGAGGTGGCCACGAGAATAAAATGCTTTGCTGTGCGTAAGCGATACGGTTCTGTTCAATGGGTCTGACCACGTACACCAGGAATGGGATCTTGACCTCCCCCACCTCCCCCCTGTTTTGAAGCCATTTTGGGATGAAGGACTGCACGTCTTCGGCCGAGGCCCTACGAGTGGGACTCGTTCGGGTCAAATTTGTTTCCCCTGGCTCTGCTTTGATTATCGGCCGCTGGGCGAGATCTGGTGAGGACGCAAAGTCGGCTGGTGGCCTGCTGGTGAAGATGTCATTTCTCCAGCATGTCTCCGTCTCCGAAACCTCACATGGGAAAGCGCTGGTGGTTGGAATGGCCGGGTGGCATTTGGAGCGTTTGGGCGACATCTTGGACCTGTCCGTTCTTCGGCCTTCGCTGAGGATCCCTATGTACAAGTACACATGCGTATGCAGGGGTAGGCCCAAGGAGATGTAGTAGCAAGTATTTTGAATGTTATGGGGAGCACATCACATGTTTACATACGTCTTTCCGTGTCACTGACTCAATACCGTTGATCACCCACCAACGCAAAGATTGTACGTGGATTTGCTGGACATGTCTCAAATGCGGTCAGACCCACAGGCAGCTGGCCGGCCGGCTCAATGGGTAACGCGCATCCCAGGAATAATTTGAAAAAGTTGACAACAAGGACGATACCCACGCAGCAATTTTGATTAACCGCCAGATACCTTCAGGTTTATCGGTTCCTGCGATAACTCGTCTGGTGCTGATATGTACTCAGATAGCCGGCCGGTCAAGCGTAACTCATCTGCTGGGCCTGTAGTTCAATACATCATCTTGTCGTTGGGGCCACCGGGTATTTGCTAGGCCTATATCGGACGAGTTGAACAGCAAACCAGCATATTTATAACGCAATCGTACTATAGCTCATAAGTGTTTGTTGCTTAGTTCTCGTTGAGCCAACCACGCCTGCGTGATCTACATGTTGGCCACTCTTATGCGCATGCCGCGCTGGGTACAGTACCCCTCACTCAGACGCCCTGACTCTTACTTAAGATTGCCTCATAATCATGATACTCTGATGCACGATATACATAATTGCAAGCCATGTATGTCTGTCTGACATGTGTCAAGAGCGCATATGCATTACTTCTATCCATACACCGCCATCAAGCTCATTACAGCGAGAACGCACGGCGATTCTGACCTTCCCAACCCTGTACCCCAACACATATGCTGACTGTACTACCGACCCCTAAGACATGTTGCACCCAAGCTGAGGGAAGCGTACCATCTTGCATACCATGCATGCGTGATAATTTGGCAAGAACAAGAGCTGATCGAAAATAGGCAAAGAAAGGAAGCAGATGATTATTGCAACATCCACGAGAGACATTGCAACATCTACGAGAGACATTCGTTCTTGGCTTGCGCAAGGGGAGTGCACCTCACCACCTTTCTTGCCCTCCTCAGCCCAGTAGAACACAATAATTAGAGGCGGCCAATAATGGGTTGGGCATCCTGGGGAGCGTAGCTTGGATGATGACCCATCAACGACTCTGACAGGCCACTTATCAGTGCTCTCTAGAATCCGTGGAATTATCCCCCTCTTCAGTCCAGCCATTCTCGCGGCGGAGCTTCTCCTCTTGCTCTGGAGTGAAGTCATTGTGAATGTTGGATATTTCCCGGATCTCATTGGTACTTTTACTCCTTGGTCATGTTCGAGATGGGCGCGCAGCCGATGTCTAAGAGCTCTTTGACATACAAGAAATTTGCAGCCTTACCGTCAACTGAACGGAGTTGTTTCGGAATAGGGGAACAACCACCTACCACAATAATATCGAACAGCGTTTCCCGGTCGGGTTTCATGAAATGCTGGTCTCGTTCGCCAACTTTGGTGCTCTTGTAACGTAAGTCATCGTTGTAGAGTCCGAGGTCGTTATTTCTTTGATAACAGCACCATTCCGTCGCGTTTTCGAGAAGATCCTTAGTAACCGAGGTTTGGTGGACAAAGCCAATGCCGCTTACATTTGGAATGGGAATAGCGTAGTTAGATGGGCCGAGATCATTTAGTAAATCCTTGATCAACATAGAGCGCTCAGCAATAACGCGTTGTAGCTTGTGCTAGTTGTTACCAACCACTATGCTCCGAAAGGTGTTGCCTTGGCCATACCGACAGCGATAGCAAATCAGTCCAAGCTCGTAAGCGTTATTGTATCCGAGGCTTCCATTGTGGCTAATGAGATCGGAGGGATTGGACGTTGTGATGTCTGATTCTAGATGAAGTCTGAGGTTGTGGGGGACGGCAGGAAAATTGATGAAGAGGAAGGAGAAGAGATCCTATAGCGGAGGCAGAGGAGCACAAGGAGATTGACATATCACCCTTCCGAGACCTAGTGTGGCTTCTCTTAAATCACACAGTCGCGAGCAAACATTTGGAGCAGGACTGGTCATCATACCTCGATCCGTGGGCAGTCCTTCCCAATGATGACCTTGCGAACATGTGCAAGTGTCAATTTATTCCATGCGCCTATATCCTGCAGTGTTTAATGTGGACTATGCACCACTACAGCTCCAAGTACTAGAAAACCGAGGCGAAAGGTTAACGAATTCAATCTTTCAGGTACTTTGGCCATGACCGTGTTATATTGAAGCCATTATATTATGTATGAAAATAATCGAAGAAGTCAACGTGAGCTGAAACCCACTTCCCTGTTTGCTAACATAATGGTATGAAGTATGCGGATGAAGTGCGCTACAATGGGTCATGCCAGACTGGTCGTCCAATTTGCGAGGTTTAACCGATGAAGACTGTGACCTTCCTAGGATTCAAAGTCCTTGGGTTCTGCAAGCCCGGCCGTCACTAACACGAACTTTGCGCTCTGTATATTCTGATATATTGCCCAACCAATGTGGTTGTACAGGAACTTGAGCAGCGCTTCATCATATGTAGATGCGGCATTATCTGTCCGATTGAGCCAAACATTGATCCTGAGGCAAGCGTCTCGCAATTCGATTATGAATGGGTTACTGCTCCTCAGCTTCAGTCTTCGTCCCAGGCAATTAAGCACACGACCAAGAAGCCTGGTGTTGTTCATGTATGCAGGAACCTTGTCCGTTCTTGATGTGCCTATATCGTGGTGGATGTGATCGGCCAAGTCAAGAAGGAACCCAATGTCTTGCACTTGAGTATATAACTGGTAAAGGCACTTGGTATGGCGCGTAAGAGCGTCATATCTGTGGTTCGTTTGCATTTGTCGGCGTTCTCTCATCACAACCAGTCGTTCCTTCATCGATACTAGAATGGTTGACTTGAAGCCAGTAAGAATGGTGTATGTATTAAATGGTAGTCTGGAGGATCCGGAGCTTACACATTTTGTCTTGTTACTCTTGAACGAAACTGGCTGCTGCGGTGCTCGCGATAGCCGCCGAAGGAACAGTTTTAATTGCCAAAGTGACACTTCAGGCTCCATCTTATTTGGATATGATTTCCCCGGGCAGAAAGCACTTTCCGTCGTAGTACATATATGCTGTTCTGGTTGACAGACGAAATCCAAGAGCTATTCTGGGATGCAGTGCGCCCTATATTTAGATTAGGCTTTCGAAACAACACTACCTGACAACGCTTACGTCTTTGGACTCCTATGCCCGACACTCCAATCAACCATAGTATCGAAATCATTGCAGGCAATCTGTGCTTGCCTGACTATCCACATTGGAATATCTTTTATCGCCATCTCAGGTCTGGAAAACTGGCAGGTTATGTGACTCAAATCCTAACGTGGCCAGCAGACAAAGACAGGGTGGATTATTAGGTCACTGGCTATCGAAAGATCGTGAGATTGAGGCAAAATTGAATTTTCATGTTGCTCCTGGTTTCATGTGAGACCCTTCCGTAAAATTCCCGTAAAATTCGAGATCCCTAAGCATACCTCACTACTGATCCCCACCCGGTTACTTTCCTTTTTTTCCTTTTTTTTTTTTTTTTTTTTTTTATAATTTCCTAGCTGCTTCGCCGTCCCGCGACAGATGGAATACTGGCGGTTTTCTTTGGATATCTATTTTGGGACTTTTCTGAGCAGATGGATGAAGTTGAGCAGCAAGAATTGAAAAAGCTCGTCGAGGCCTTGCACGCGGCACTTTGCGCAGGCCCATACCATGATGTTGCCGTCGATGCGATCATCCATCTTTACTTGATGAACCTCAAGTTTTGGAACCGCCGTTTCGCTCTTCATTGCCAGTCGCTGGAGCAAATGAGAAACTGCAACGCACAATCTCTGGACAAGAGATGCACAGCCAGTAGACAGGATAAGGGGAAACAACGGAGACATCAAATGTCGCACATCGCTGCAATCAACAGAGAATGTGAAGCTGGTAATGAGATCCGCCCCTGCCACTTTGTTTATTCGCACTGAGTATCACAGCAGGAAGATTGTTGCGCATCATGGATGGCGCTCTGGGAACACGCGCACAACTCCTTTACCATCGAGGCTTCCCGTTATCCTTTCACGTTGGTGGGGGTGACTGCAGCAAAGCACCTGATACGAGAGGTTTAGTGAAAGGTATACAGAGGCATCTGGCTCATTGGGAGCCATGGTGGATGGCTTTGGAGGACTATTTGAAGTTCATCCGCAGAGATTTGGATTTAGAGATGGATTTCTTTCGATGCCTTTGGGGCCCTTCTAGTACTCCCAGCAATCGCTCCGGGATCAAAAGTTGGTTTGGGTCCTTCCCACCTGCAATCCATTCCTTCACCCAGGCTGACAGGCTCATGCACTATTCCCTTAGTCATCGGCATTCTCGACCGGCGGTTAAAGCGTTTATTGGAAGTACAACCAGATGGACTGGAGGCCCTGAAGGAGGCATGCTACCCTGAAGATGCACGCCTCACACATATACAGAAGTGTACGTCAAGCATTCCGTTTCTTGGCTCAAGGTTCGGTTGAAAATTGTAGCTAATTGCGCAACAAAGTGCTGCCTGGCCGTCTTCAGGCACTGCAAGACCTGATACAGTCGCTGCGCCTCTTGCACGAAGCGCTACATCCTGGAAGTCCCCCGGAAAGGGTACTACGAAAAAGGAAAAGGAGCACGTGAATTTACGACGCTATACTGTATATATGCTTTAGCCATCTTTAAGCTTAATCTCTCCGAGCCTTGAATTCCATCGCAAGAATTCTTCCATTGCATACACCAGCTCCGGTAGTACCTGGTATGGGCGTGGCCCTCATCTATTCGCTTGTAAGTTTTTCATCTAGCCATTCTTCCGGCGAGTAGGATTCTGGGGCTAGGGTAAGCGAATCGTCATGGACTGAAACAATGGTATCCGGTGTGGTCTGTGTCGGGGCTTACATGTCCTACGCGGTGCCTCTCGCAGGTTCGCGCGGAACAGAAGTGACAGCTAGGGAGATTGAATACTGTATAGGCTTCCCGATATGGTATAGCTTTGGCCCCGACAGCCTATACCGTGAACAAATGAGATGATGTAGAGTTGGCAGTATCACCAAAGAGTATGTTTTCGTCGCGTTGCCCTGTATGCTCACCCGCATCGCAAGGCAGTTGGTGGCGCACTCACCATATGGACCGGTGGTCAAATAAGGTCTCCAAGATGACATTGGAACAGCCATTCTGACAGTGTTCGCAATGAGACCTTACAGTCTACTCATTTTGACCGCTCGACGCTAGGTGCGAATCAACATTCAATATAGTCCAATATCACGGAACACTGAGACTCTAGAGATGAAGGGAGCACTTTACAAGCCAGGTTCACTCAATTCCGTCGTTCGCGTTGAAGAGTAAAATCTAACAATATAAACAGTGCGCTGAGCGGTTTCTTAGAACGTTTGTTGGAACTATGCAGACCCATGTATGTTTAATGAGGAAAGGTGGAGCTGGGCATGTTTTTTTTTATGGACAAATATTCATGGCGTGTGATACTTTGAGAGCAAGGCGTGCAACATAGGTTGTTTAATCATAATACACGATGTAAAGAGTAAATCAAAGCTCATGCTTATCCCAATGGACCATGGCTGCACAGGTCAATGGAAAATATGATCGGAGCAAAGTAAAGGTGTTGAGTTATCATAAACAGGTGGCTAATGTGCTGAAACATGGGCTTTGTTCATCATCCTGTTGCGCATACAGGTGACCATAATTATCTGGTCCGAAGCTTGCCAAACCTATGCTGGTTGGGCATGGCCCACCTGATGCTGGTGAATCATCCTTTAAAAAATAATTGGAGTTGCCTTGGTCACTTCGCTTTTCTACAGTCGCGAATATAGTGATTTCGCGGGCCAGCATTGCTGAGTGTGGTTTGTCATACGAACCCCTATGCCACGTATATACATATATATATATATATATTGGCCCCTGTGGAGATTCCCACGTTTCTCTTACCGCAAGTTTTAATTTCAAGGAACTACCCACCCAAAACATATAACCACCACGGGACCACTTTCGATTTCAAGTCATTCTATGGGGGTAAAAAAGGACTTGATCCTGATAGGCCGACGCTGAAACCAACTTGGGCCTTTCCTGTTTTCGAGACAACCGCCAAAGCTCAACAAAAGAGATCTAGATGAGCGGGTGAGTAGGAGCCTCGGAGCATGCTCGATAGCCTTGCTAATAAAAGAGAGACCAAAACCCCTAGGACAAGATAACAGTAGCCTTGACCCTGACTTCGAGGCCGAGGGATACGTGGAGTTTCAGAGAGCACAACAGCGCTATATAGACTTTATCATTCTGGCCATTCTCATCAGCATCCTAGCTGGGGGCACTCTGACACTGAGTGGGGTTGATTCATTTTGCTGATCTGGGACAGCCAGTTGTTTGAAGGCAAATTCTTCACCAGTGCCGGCATTTGCGTTGCAAGGTATTGTGCCGCTTATACCTCGTCGTACACCCGTGGACGCCTTTGCTACCACGCGGCGGCTCTAGTAAGCAATCACTGGTTGATATGGGCTCCAGCACCGGGAAAACCAGCGGTGGAAGAACGGGGATAAGCCACAGTAGCTGGTAGGGCTTTCTGTCTACATTGTCCTCTGGGGGTGGATGATGTGAAAGTAGCTTGTGATGAACCAAGTGAAATATTGGAAGAAAGAATGGACAGATACATATGTGGAAGAGCGATACACTAGTCCTTTACTGTAATAAGCACAGTTCGGAGGATATCCTAAGCTACAAGCACTGTCCCGAGGCGGAAAGATTACTAGTTGCGAACTATGAGTTACCTAACATAGCGCCACCTCTGGCGTCCTCAACGACCCATTCTGTTTGTACCAGTTCCTCTATGGCATCACGTAAGTAAAGGTTATCCGCTCTCTACCGAAGTCTCCCCGTGTGCGAGGATAGAGAAGCTACACGTTTAGATGACAAGACTCAGGTTCGCAAGGTAAAGCCAAACCAGTCTTGGTTGGTTGTTGATTACATAGAGCTGTAGGTTTACCTGCTTATAAGAGAGGCAAATCCAAGCCAACGACCATGCCTTCTAGTTCTTGTTGCTTCAATGCCAACGTATCTCGTTCGGCAGCCTGGTTTGTACTGAGCCAACACATGATCCCAAAGACCCTGGCCTGAATGTTTTTCTTTTGTTCGTCGGGCATGGGCGGCTTGCCCTCAGTGACGGCGCTGTTGAGAGCGTAGGCGCGGGACTCGAGGCTACTTCTGGCTTGGATACGGGCAATCTCAGCATCGTCGTCCTCCTTGTACTTCTTAGCCTCCAGAAGCATACGCTCAATATCCATCTCATTGAGACGGCCTTTGTCGTAAGCCACAGTGACTTGAGAGGGCTTATCGGGGCCTTTCTCGATCGCGGAGATCCCCGTAATACCGTTGGCATCCACGGTAAAGGTGACTCGAATCTGGGGCACACCCAGTGGAGCTTTGGTTGTTCTACAAAGTTCAATCTTGCCAAGCAGTTTGCTGTCTTCGGCGCCAGATCGCTCGCTCTCAAAAACCTGGATCAAAATACTGGACTGGTTGTCGGAGTAGATTGAGAAAACCCCGGATTTCGTAGTGGGAATGGTAGTGTTGCGCTTGATCAGCGAGGCCTTGCCACCGTCCACTGTTTCAATCCAGAGGGATAATGGAGCAACTTCAAGAAGCAGAATGTCCCTGATGGATTTCGAGGAGGTGTCGCCCGACAAAACCGCAGCCTGGATAGCGGCACCATGTGCGACGGCCTCATCAGGGTTCACAGACTGGTTTGCCTCTTTTTGGAAGAAGTCCGAAATGAGCGCCTGTATCTTGGGGATCCGCGTGCAGCCGCCAACCAGAACAATCTCATGGACGGAGGGCTTGTCAGTCTCTGCGTCCCGGAGAACCTGCTCGACAAGCTCCATGATGCGGCGGAAGAGATCGTGGCAGAGATCTTCAAATTGGTCGCGTGTGATGGAGATGTTAAACTCAATCCCCTCAAGAAGCGAGTCGATCTCGATGGATGCCTGGGTGGCAGATGACAGCGTTCGTTTGGCGTGCTCACAGGCCGTCTGGAGGCGCCAGAGGGCCCGGGCATCGGTAGTCAGGTCTTTGTTGTGCTTGCGTTGGAACTCGGCCGCAAAGTGATTGACGAGGCGAGTGTCAAAATTCTCGCCACCAAGATGGGTATCACCAGCGGTAGCTTCGACTGCAAAGATCCCGTCTTCGATCGCTAAGAGCGACACGTCGAACGTTCCACCGCCCATGTCGACAACCAGAACACGGTGCTCCCCTGGTATCTTTTTGCAGAGGCCATAGGCCACGGCGGCGGCAGTCGGCTCGTTCAGGATTCGGAGGATGTTGAGGCCAGCAATGAGCCCGGCGTCCTTGGTGGCCTGCCGCTGGGAGTCACCGAAAGACGCAGGGACTGTGATCACAGCGTCGGTGACAGTCTCGCCCAGATAAGCCTCCGCGGTCTCACGAAGCTTGGCAAGGATCATGGACGAGATTTCTTCGGGCGTGAAATGCTTGGTCGCGCCTTTGAAGCCGACTTCCACAACGGCCTTCGAGTCTTGGTCGATGACCTTAAAAGGCCAGCGCTGCTTATCAACCTGCACCTCGGGGTCATGAAAGCGTCGGCCGATGAGACGCTTAGCATTGAAAATGGTGTTCTGCGCGTTCACCGGAAATAGGCCATTGGCAGCGTTCCCAATCAGGCGCTGTCTGTCGGTGAAGGCGACTAATGAAGGGGTATTACGGGTTCCCTGGTCATTCGCGATGTTTTCAAACCGATCATTGCGGAAAACCCCTACGCGGGAGTAGGTGGTACCCAAGTCAATTCCAACTGCACGCCCCATGATGTCGTATTCTTATAGTGAAAGTAGGTATCATTCGTGCAGACAAATTCGTCGAGTGGGTTATTAGAAAATGAAAAGGCTGATACACAAGGGCCAAACCAGAGCAGTAATGCGGGAAAGGAGAAGTTAACGTCGGTCGGGTCTCTTTGGTTCTGGCGCTTGGTTTTATAAGGGTGCGGTCGCGCCACTAACACCGGCAGGAGCAAGTGATCTCGCCGGCTTACGTACCTGCTCGAGGATTCGAAAGAATCGATTACTTGCAGTTTGCCTTTCTACCTTCCTGCCGCCTCTTTCTATCCGAAATTATGCAGCAAGTCATTAGGTAATGGTAGCTGCTGGCTGCGAACCCTGGGTCTGCCAAAGTACTTGAATCCACCGTGTATGATGTTGCAGTATATGGTTCAGCATTACACAGATAATTGCACGACATTAGCGTACAGTTGAGTACGTCTCATACATCAGTATAGATACACTAGCCCCCAGCCCAAGTGTACGTGAAGATTCACTCGAGGTTCGTCATTGCTAAGGGCCCGTACCGAGTTACAGGTAGCTGCCCACCTAAATCTTAGCAACAGTCTTTGGAAGTCGGCAATTCGGAATTGGCACAACAGATTGAGCTCACCAGTGCAGGAATGAAACGTTAGCTGTCGGAGCTGCTACCGTCGTGTCGCGATAACTCTAGCCTTCCGTATCAAAACGCTAACGTTGCAAATAAACAACCACTAACGCTACAATATGGCCCTATTGGCGGGGGGTGGCCGCTGGTACAGGGAGCATGGAGGTGTTGATCACTAATAAAAAAAAATTATGGAAGGTTCCCTCATCAACCTAACGCCTTTTCTCGGGTTTACGGGACAATCTCGGCCCAATAGTTGACCATGTTTATCAACATATACCTTCCGTTATCGCGGCCATAATCGTAGCCTCCGTAAGACATCAGAGCTTGCTGCGCAGTCTGCGTTTTCCTAATTTCATCGTCATCTATACATTTCCGGATCCCTCTTGTGGCTACCGATGGCAATGTTGCTAGTGTCAGATGGCGTAGGGGCGCACTGTCGATTCATTCGCAGGCTAGTAACCATCAAGTCGAGGGCACCACCGCTTGGGAATCCTGTAGAAGACGGCATCATATGTTTGAACAAGCCAAGATTGGAAGCCATGTGGCTGCTTGGATTTTTTATGTTGTGATTGACTCCAGAGATTCAAATGATGCCCTAAACAGCACGTAAAATGGCCGTCAATGCTCCATAAACATAGGGCCAAAGAATGAGAAATACGTAGTTAGCGCGTCATGGCCTAAGAAGCTTCAGATAGAGGGCCGCATGCGCCGGAATGTACATGTATTGTCAAGTCCCTAATGGCTATCGGAATTTTACCGTCCGGAAGTCCACCCTGTATGGCACGCAGATTGTGTGGTAACCCACAACCCACTAGAAACACATGAATTGCGCACAAGTCGAGTATAAGACCTCCTCTCATCACCAACCATTCTCTGGATCACTGGCTAATTTCCAGAGATCGATTCCCAGACACCAAAATCAATCAGCAACCATGAGTCTGAACCTCAGCCTCATCACTCAAGGCCAAGTGACTAGTCCTGCCTCAAGCCATGAGCCGATCTCACAAGCGCAAACGCCAATTAGCCCAACATCTTCGATGCAGTCGACTCCATCCCCGTCGGCTCCATCCCCGAAAGCATTATCATTCCCGGATTTTCTTCGCCAATTCTACAGCATTGAAGGTTGCAAATCTGCGCTATCGCCCCGCCATGCAACTTGTCCACGACAGGGCACGCCCCAGGAGACTCCGCCGGAGCAATCGGTGAATTTCCACAGATAACACTAGCTCACAATTGAGGTCCGTCGAATTTCACTATCCTTCTGGCTATTGTTCACGTCGGAGCGTCTCCATACTGTCCTCAACTTTTCGATGCATCATGTTCAATACACAGTACATGTATCTCCTTGCCAGGAGCTCTACGGCGTTGATCACTATAGTTGCCTGGCTTCACATATTGCTCCTAGCTTTCCTCATCTACGCACCTGCAATGATAATTAAGGTTCATCAGTGATTGTCCTATTGATCTTCAAGTATTTGTCGAAGACTCCCTTTGTAAGCAGCCGCTTTCAATGTGTTTATCAGCTGTAGCAGGTTAGTTGAATGCAAAGGAGCAACACCTCAAATTCCGACCACATTGAGCTACCCAGTGAGGCAGATCAATCTACATGCAATCCTCGTGGGGGACCAACAGTCTTTCGCAGTATCCATGGCCTTTTACAGTCCCATGGGTGCTTTTGCTTGAAGTAAAGGAGCGGATATAGATTGATATGTTCTACTTTCAGGCTTGGCCATGGTGAATCCGCTACTATAGCCTCAGACTTCTCTACGGCTGTATGGAAATATTAACCATCTGTATATAATACAGATTCGGACGGGGTTCCTTTCTCATCCGATACAGGTTACTGCTTCCACTTTACGATTTATACCTGTCAATATCACCTGAATATTACTCCGACACTAGTTCATACCTGGCTTGGGGAGGTCTGTTTATTCTAACCTTCAAAGCGCGGACGGTGTTGAAAAGCGACCTGACTGGACTCCATCATGTAGACTGGTGTCCTCAGGCAGGCAAGCACAAACTCCAATGCCGAAACGCAGACCTCAGCCCTGATTATCCGTAATTAGTACTCGGAAGATGTTTGCCGTCATTGCACTATATACTAGGGAGAACTGGGTCCCGAAATGCCGCCCGGCCTACGGAGCCAAAATACGGCGTGACTGGGTGCGGACAAAGGGGGCACAAGAACGAAAAAACTTAGTGCATGGTTGCTAATCATTGTTTGTTTTAGCTGCAGCCACTGTATCTATGAAATCTTTCGCTACAGTACAATTTGCTACATTCAGAATACAGAATCCCCCTTGCTATTGCTCTGGGAAAACAAAATGCCAATTTTAGCAGCACTATGACGGGTAACATTAGGCGATATTTGGATTCAGCGAAGCTTAATGTACGGAAAATTCGAAGATATCCGATTTTCAGCCCGTTCTCTCTGGGTCGGTACAGTGATGTTTGGTCTTCTATTTTAACATGACTACACCCAGTTAACCCAATCTTGAGTAGGAGGAGGCTACCCACGCGTATCCATTCTCTCATTACAAAACCGCCCCTGTTGCGTCTGTCACATGTGTGAGCAAATAGTACAGGGCTACGATTTTCCATAGCAGCTCATGTGGTTAGCTTTTTCAAGCTGGCCTGGGATTGTGTCTCTCCTTGCGTATGACAGTTAAAAGGAGTGATTGTTAAGAAGCCTGCTGATGATCCAAAAGCTGGTCTCACGGGCATAGCAATATAGTACAGACGTGTACAGCAGGAATAGAGCCTTGGTGTCGTTTCCGCCATCTGGTCAGATATACCCGCAGTTCATACGTAAGCATAGCATAAGAAATGAGGAAATGGGCAAATTGTGTTGGTCCCAGGCGTGGTTTGGTATTGGGGGACCAGAAGCCGATCACACATTATGTTTGGCAAACAGCGCGGAAACTACGGAGACGCTTTCCAGGTGCTGATTTTACACCGACTTAAAAAACACGACTACAGCTTCTCGAACACATTGGCAGGCCTACATTAGTTTGATTTGCAAATGCATGAGACCGACCATGATCACGTACGTATCAGAAACTCATCTGTTTCGGTGGGGCGGTTCGTTATCACTGAGTAAAGATCACATTATGTGATGGCCTTGCTATCCTACCACGCTGCGTTGACCATGTACATAAATAGGCAGGCCAAGCAAGTCTTAGGTCAGTTGTGCCGTCCCCTGATTGCATCACAGGATCGACGTTTGCGTTCCTAGTAATTATTGCTGTATCATAACGTCAAAGAGCGTATTTGCCTATCCAACGGCCTTTCCGTACTTCTTTAAAAATGTCAGTGGAAATACTCTTTATTCTACTGTGGGATTTATTCCTTCGTCATCTAGGAGCGGTTCGACAACATCCGGCTTTCTCCCGGGGGACTCCTCAAGTGTTCCACTGTTGTTGTCAAGGGTTGGATTTGCGATGATGGTAGACTTCTGACCTGCAATCTCAGTCTCAGCCCTTTCATAGTTGATTGTATGCGCATTGAGTTATGACCTCGGTGACACGACAAAAGATTACATGATGATAGTCGCCATGCCGAATCAAAAGTGGAGCTTTGACCTGAACTCTGGCTTTCAGTTTCACTACAATTCTACTCCGTTATACTATGCTTTTGTTGGTTTATTAAGGATCTAAATATCAATGTAAACAAAGACAAACGTTCGCCTCGCCGCTGCAAACAGCGCTCCAGCGAGCGGCTGGCCAAACCCATGTTTTTCAGCACAATACTTACAATACGAACCTCCAGCACATCCTGTATTCAGACTTTTCGGACCTTCTTCTAAGCAGCCAGCCCCTTTTTTATCCGACATAGGCTAGACCCGCTGTATTAGACCTCCACGAGTACTTGTTGCGTTTCTTCGCAGCTGCCGCAGAGTTACAGGACAACAGGAACAACCGGAACGGGAATCTACAAGTTTTGGATTCAAGAGGTTCTATAAAACAGGCGAGCCAGGATCATATTGCCGTTGATAAGTGCCTTGTGATTTTATGTGGTTTAGAACGAGAACGCCAAATGACTCGATGTCTCTAGATAACTCTAAATGCGTTATTTCAAGCAGCCAAAGCATACTGCACAAAATCTCTACCAAACCATCATTCTTTGAGTCAGTCAATGAAATATCTTCCTTTTTTTTTATTTTTTTTTTTTTTTTTTCTTGAAAGCCGTTACTGGTAGGAGATGTAGAAACAGAGAAAACAGTGGATTGCGAAGTGTTCAATGAGACATGCAGTCAGCCCAGCGTGAAGATTTTGCTTTGAAGTCATGATCTTTTTATACTGTAGAATCGTGAACTCGCTTCGAATAAGAATTTACTTCTCATCCATCCCGATTTGTTTGTGTTGCATACTGAGCCGTCGTAGAATGATATAGCATTCCAGATAGCCAACTGTGGAGGCTCTTGCCCCAATGATAAAAGTATCGATAAACCCATCGATGACGGATTTCATACACTGAAGACAAACCATCTGCGTTAGATACTTGCGTTGTAGCAATTTCCCTCTTACCGCCTGGTTGAACCAGCGGAAGTAGTTCTCAAGGAAGCTACTAAGAGCTAGGAAATTCCAGTGCACAACTGTATAATGCTGAGCCTCACCGAGCTTTGGGAAATAAAATATTCTCTGCATGTTTTCATATGGCCGATGTAACGAGAGCCCGAGGTCGAATCCTTCATCCTCCAGTTTAATTCTCTCTGGATATATCCATAATTGGCTATGGTGTCGGTAATTCAGGTCTTCTATGGAAGTGACAATGAAGTTTAGTACTAATGACGGATGCCAGGTACACTCTTTTGCCATCCATAAATCTATGGCTAAAGTTGAAGCCCTTTTAGGATTCCTGCTACCATGCCCACGGAGGGCGAGAAGAGATACGGCCTTGTATCGAATTTGTCTCATTTTATTGGCGAGCATGGCGCATCGGCTATACAAAAGTGGGAGCAAAATGATGAGTCTATTGACAAGATACAACTTCTATGCTTATATGCCCACTTCTCTCATCAGCTACTTCCAACTCTTAAATAACACATCTAGACTTAGATAATGGTAAATGCTCGAAATGAACGACGTGAGAATAAGAATAAATGATTGTTGTTTTTGGAGCAGTATTCCTGCACCTATGCACAAAAGTATTAAAGGAATATTGAAATCAATATCGGTGACCTGTTTCCTGACTGGCACAGCACAAACACCATCATCCCCAAATGGCCTTGGTGGATTCTGCCTTCAATATGGGCCTATATATCACTATTATCAGCAATTATCCGAAGTAAAGACGGGCAGTGAACGCAGGTACCTGACAGAGAGGCCACGAATGCCTTTCTCTAAGGGAAATGTGCTATGGAAGCTCATTCCAATTAAATATGACAACAAAAAGCGAGCTGCGAAAGTTGAAGCGGCTTGTTTTCTCTCTAATCAAAATTTGACATTATTCCTCCTAAGATCCAAGTTAGACACGCCCAAATTGACGCCCCTTCCTGAGCTAGCAACAGCTGTTGCTTTTTAGCTTGGTTTATTTTTTTCCCTCTTTCTTTTCTTTTCTTTTATTTATTTGTATTTTTTTTTGAGGTTGGAATAAGAAATAACGCAAAGACTGGAGAGAGAAATACCCATAAGCGTTAGGTGTAGCATTGTAGCATAGATTAGAAGGGCGTTACTCGTTAGCTATTTTGTCAGGTAAAGCTTAGCCTAAAGTGTGGCAGCGTACCGAAATACGCCAAATTGATCATCTTTTGATAATTTATGTGCGCCATAATGCCTGACCCAGGGATTATTTCCATCACCTTTCGCCAAACGAGGAAATAAGATGGTAAGTTAGAGGCCTGAAGTACGTAATGCATGCTCAAGAGAACTTTACAGTTTAATTACCATTGCACACTCCCGTATCTACCCTACTCCAACAACAAGAGCCGCAAAAGTGAGATACGTGCAAACTGCTTAGCCGAGAATAAATGACTTAAAATACATGATGATGATGATGACGATGAGCTCATTTATCTATGTTGCATGTGAGTGTGCTATATAATGTAGTTAATTCGTAGTATTTGTAGAGGGTGTCATTAAACCAATCCAAACAAAGACAAACAAAGACAAGAGAAGACAGAAAATGTAACAAGCCTGCAGCTGCTTCAAAATTATAGGATCTCTCAGAGCGGTAATTGTGGTTGTGCTGCTGTCCTTGGAGAGTACTATACTAAAAGCCCGCCTTGCTTAATATGTACTTGGATTTGTAGTTTGATTATTCTCTTGTCTAACAATTCATTCCCTACTCATGGTTACTTTCCGACCTACTTTTCCGCATTCAAGGTATAAATTCTTGTAGTACTGTACCCCGCCTTTTTATTTTTGTTCTGATCCCCCGGAAAAAAACTTCCTTCAACTAGTTGTTCCCTAAAAACTTTTGCCTGATCAAAATTTCTGTATCTGAATCTTGTATGATTGCTTTTCCAAACTGATTCAACTAATATCTGGAGATAAGCCACTGAAATCCTAGACATGGCTTTTTTACCTTCCCTTCAGATATACACCACTTCCATTCCCACTACCACGTAACAAAGCAATGATGTCACTACCTCACCAATCGCAAGTGTCAAACTAGTAGCTCCGATCCTAAATACTGGCAAAGCCGCGTCATGATGAGTACCTTGGGCCTTCTTCTGAGCGAGGCTAGGAGCCCAAGCCTCGATGTGAAGGTAAAATATGCTAACATTGGGTAGCCTCAGAAGGGTATTTTTACACCATGAGCCGACATGCACGGGAGAATTCATGGATAACCTTTCAGAAAGGTAATACTGGTGGGGTGCCATTGCAGAGACTTGCGATGCCTTTCGCTGAGCTAGTGTTAGAAACATTTGTTTATCGTTGTTGTCACAATGCCTCAGGTCATTATGGATAAGGCTTCAGCATCTAGCGGCTTGGGAACATGCGCCGTGAATTTTACGTAGAGGCGAGGTGGCCAACCCGGACGGTGTACTAAAATTCCACGGTGGTACTTCTTCTAAACACAAATTCAACGAGTGCTGTCCTGATGGTACCAAGCTATGCTGCATCACTCGTGTTCTATAGTCTACGGTACCGCGTCTAAGTCGAGCCCTGGTACGGACAACTAATTCCAGATGGAGTTGAAACAACCCCTCGGGCCTGTCAACTTTACTGTAGGCAAAATATACTTGAATTTGGGGTTTTATCTCATGAGTTCAGGATTTAGGCCAGCCATCAAGGTTTCCAAACCACCGCGACCGGTAGATCTTATCGCCGATACTTAACTTGTGTTTCTTGTCATGAGTAACCAAAGGCGTATGAGAACGGCTCGATTTAACCCGCAAGTCCTGCACATAGACAAAACTGCCATCGGGTGCAATATTGAAACTCTTCAGGCCTGACTGCGGCAGCGCCCATATCTCCCCACCAGTATACCCATGACAGTCATCGTTTGTTACCTCCTAACCTAGTGATCCTGATTGGTGACGTTCTCATAATGCTCCGTGAGCTGGCCAGTTCCAATATCGAACGCGTGTAGTCCACGGTCTTCCGACACAAGGGATTTCCGCTGGCGAGGGTTAGGCGTCAGGCCGTGTAATTCAGCCCACCACGGTTATCCCTTACCCCATTCAACCTCAGTTATGTTTGCCTCAGGCAGTTTGTAGACATAACGGTCTTTAGATAAGGGTTCTGTCCTAGAGCTCCAGGATATACTACAATGGTTCCATAAGCAGGGACTGGATCGGTGCCGTCTGCTGCGGCGTCCGTTCCAACAGCACACAGAATTTGTCCTTGCTCATCCCAGATCAAGCCATGTATAGCACGTAGGCCGGTAATATTTTGGAAAATTAGAAGGCTTGCAACGAGGGCGTTGGCAGCGCTACCGTTATAGACAAAGAGTACCGTCCCAGGCTCGCTGACCAGTAGTACCTACGGCAAGTAAATTACCTGGTAGGAACAGTAGTCGTCGAGTGACCCGAGGAAGAAGGAAATCCATCTAAGCAAATCCTCCAGCATTGGGAGAGATTGTAGACTACTTAGGAGCACCGCTCGATGAAGATTGGGGTTTATTTCTCTCAATAAACCTGGCTTCAAACCTTTGCCGAGTGAAGAATGACGAACTGAGAGAGTGGTCAAATACCACTAGGACCCTTTGGGACAGGCTTATTCATCGTTCACCCAATTCCTCCTAGTATTTGTACGGTATTCCGGGCACATTCGGAAGTACGGTATAGACCCCTGAGATCGTTCAACCGATCTTGAACACCTACAATCAATCACCTGATTCTATTGGACATGTTCAGTACCAGCCAGTACATCAATTCCTCATCCTGACAAAGAATACAACGATCAAACCCTATGTCTAATACTGTCAGTACATTACCGCCGCGCACCATTTAGTGCTCTCTGTTTGCTTTTCTTTGTCCCAGATGGTACACGTACTTTACCTGACGTGGTAGGCAATAAAGGTTGACTATTACGAGTCTGGCGGAATGCATGGCGAAATCAACACTGATGGATTTCTCCACACCCCCATCCCTCCTATATTCAGCAACGACTGAAGCAGTGAATACCCACATGGCAGGAATTATCACGGTCTCTGTTATTAATAGGGTGTCATCGAAAAACGAGAAGCGTGAGCGACCTATCTTGTTGACAATCTTTGGTCAATGAGCGATACACTTAGGCAAGACATTTGCTCGGTCATTCTTTCGCAGTGTATAAATTGTAGAAAAAAGAGTATCTACGGTCATGATGCCCCAAATTCCGCAATGGGATAGGGACGGACTTGCCAATATTGGCTGCGGCCTTGTTCATTTCTTTCGTTCCATGGTGGGACCCGCCAACGTTCGGGGAAGGCTTTGTCGAGTGAAGTTTCATATACATCATTGCGGTAGCGCCAAACCCACGCTTCCTCGGGGGTCATTGCTTGGCTCATTTGCCCTTTTTATAATGATAAAAGAACATATAGGCCGTGCCCGAGAACCTCACAATCTCTCGCAAGACAAGAACTTAGAATGCACACTGGGATCACCGCAATAAGGTAGGAAAAACAATGGTTTGCGAAGGAATATCATAATAAGTTGTTAGAGCGTAGTTTCCATGGGAGTAAATCACCCCAAAACACCGTAGACGAAACTGCTACAATTTGATACCTCCTAAACTTCCTTGCGAACCCTTGCAAGGAATACTTCTTGCTTACTTTTTTATAAACATAGATTTGAAATGGGTTTTGTTTCTTTTGGCTCCGTATACATGAGAAGAAATGGTCAGTCACTTGTCTTTCCAGAGCCTTTCTATATGCCATCGCTAGAAGCAATGAATGCTGTCGAAATAGTTGACTACGTAAGCTTGTTCAACTCAACAGAAGACAAGGAGCTATACTGCAGTGTAGTGGAAAGCTAAGATAGAGGTGGTGACGAATTCAGAGGCGGCAACACTCGACTTTTGGGGGTAGCTTTGCGTCTGTTCTTAAAGCGCGGTGGTTGAGTGGCCGTACTTTCCAAATCACTACAGCTGGTGGAGCCAGTGGGGCTTTGTGGTCTTCCAGTGCTCCGCCGATATCCACCTAACAGTGTCGTGTGAGAAATCTCGCTGGGTGGAATGCAACCAAATCCGGGCCCCCGCTTCTTTAACGCGGGGTTTAGATTTGCCCTCTGGGAGGTTGAGGCTCTGAATGTTCTACCCATCTGCGATGGCTGATAAGTCTCATCCGGCTGATTTACCCCCGATGAAGGTCTGGTTCGAGTAGGCTGATGCTCTGGAATGGGTTGTTGCTCTGAGGCTGTGCGTCCTACTGAGTGTGTCTGTCTTGCTGAGCCAGGGTCAGAAACCGGGGCATTGCCCTGTTGTGCTTCATGTCGACGCTGTGTGTAGCCTGTGTTCTTTCGAACTGGGGGTCCATCTTTTTCAGGCTGACCGTGATCAGATCGGTAGCCTTGGTGGACCGTCGGGCTACGATCCCTGTAGGGTTTCTGGTTGCTGGGTGAACGGGAACGCCCAGGGCTCTGCCTTCTCCCGAAGGTTTGGGGTTGGGTAGAATCGCGTACGAATTTCCGCTGATATGATCTCTGGGTGTTTGAGGCTCCGGGTGCTTGACTTGTCTGTGATGGCTCATCAGTTTTGTCTAGCCGATTTATCCCAGAATTCTCTGACGGAGTCCTAGTTCGAGTAGGCTGATTTTTTGTAACAGGTCGTCGCTCTGGTACTTGCCCTTCTCGTCGATCGTGCTCTTCTGGTCGACTATGCCTTTCCCAGGGCCTTGGAGGGGCGTGAAATGGGGCATGGCCCTGTTGTGCTTTATGTCGACCCTGCGGGTAGCCTGTAGCATTTTGAATGGGGGGCTCACCTTCCTCAGGTTGACCGCCAGGGCTTTGGTAGAGCATCGAGCTAAAAATTCCTTTATTGTAAAACCCGTGGGCCCGCTGGCGGAAGTTTTTTCTCATATACGGGTGCTGATTTGGATCTGGACACCGTGGCCCCTCATTCATTTCGGCTTTTCGAATGGGGGGCTTACCTTCCTCAGGTTGACCGCCAGGTCTTTGATAGGGCATCGAGCTAAAAGTTCCTTTATTGTAAAACCCGTGGCCCCACTGGCGGAATCTTTCTCTCATATACGCGTGCTGGTTTGGATTTGGCAACCGTGGCCCCTCATTCACTTCGGCTTTGGAGAAGTATGATTCTTTGCTGCCTGTTGAGTAGTACGTTCCCTTTGGATGTGTAGCCGGCTTATTAGGTCGCCCATTACTAGATGGCTCACGCTGGGAAGGCGCCGCCGGGGTAGGATGTCTGCGGCCCCTTTTCGAATCATCTTCAGCACGCTTTTTCAACTCATCTTCAGCACGCTTGTTCAACTCATCTTCAGCACGCTTGTTCAACCCATCTTTAGCACGTTTTTTCAAATTATATTCAGCACGCTTTTGTGGATCTTTTAAAGTTTCATATGCATTGCTGATAGCCGCAAACTTTTCATTGCTCTTTGAGGCGTCACTTTGGCGGTTCTTGTCAGGATGGCATTTGAGAGCTAAAAGTCAAGGTCTGCTTTCAATGAATCATTCATCTGTTTGCTTACCATTTTTACGGTAAGCCTTCTTTATATCTTCGCCATCTGCATCATCTCTTAAGCCAAGAAGAGTATAAAAATCCTCCATTCTTTCTTCTTGCGGAGAGCTCACTCCAGATGAGGCTCCTTGGACTCAGTTGGCCTCCTCGGAAAAAGTACAGACTTCCATTATTGAGAGAATACTTATTACTTTGTTTGAGGATATATTGAAGGCCCATTTCGGGATTTTCTTTTCAAAAATGGCCTGCTCGGGTGGATCGTGCGTTCTATATTAGAGCAACGAGTCACGGAAATAGACGCAAATCCCTAATTATTTGTTTGCCCTATGTTAGCCCCAAGGCAGTACACGTGGCTCAGAGCATTCCCTGCATTTTCGCGAGAGGAACGTCATTTGAAAAAAGTAATTGCAGCCTCTCCGCGAGGCTGGCAGGACTTTCTGATTAATGTCCAGCATGAAGTTCCCTAAATGCGATTGTACGAAAATTCCGTCCAATTATGCCGCTTCATAACCTCAGATAAACGAAGAACACAGATGGCTTGATTTGCTAGCATAGAAGAAACGAGGAATTTTTTCGGCCCCTCTAACAATGACACCCAGTCAAAGAGAGTGCATGGTCCTCGAAAAAAAATTACTTTGAAGAGCTGGATACTGCCAAGGTGCTTACCTGTCATTTTCTCCTTCCATGTATGCAGCTGACGGGATGAAGTAGCCACATGGTAAATGTTTCGACGAGCAAAGTCGAGGCAGGACATCAAAGCAATTGAAGCAAAGGGGAAGAATGATGCGATCGACGGTATAGCACATAACCATCGCAAATGGGTACAAAGTTAGTAATGGGTCCCACTACCCCTTTCATGTCTAAACAAATATTTTAAATGTAGTACAGTAGTAGGGATGCCGGTCTCGCTGGGATTAACCCCGGGCGCATAGCACGTAAGCTAACTTAGTAAGTAACTTAGGAATTTCGTGCTAAACATTCTGAGAACATACCAGGTTGTAAATGAGGTCGCAGTAATAATTGTACGGGTATTCTGGCTCGCTTACTTCATATTGAAAAAGCTATCAATGGAGGTATTTTTGATTGTTTGTTTAAGTATTTTATTAATACACTGAAGCCAACCTGTCAAAATAGGTAATGCGTTATCATCGTGAGAATGGACCGCCTAAGATGATGAAGATGATGAAGATGATGGATGATGATGAAGATGATGATATTTCTTATACCTAGCCTATGCAGGCCGGTGCACTCGGGCTTACACCACAAGAAACCGTTTTCTAATATCGGAAGGCCAGACCCAGTGATGAGTGGATAGCACCTACAGGATTGAAAAGATAGCTCGCACCATTAATCAAGTTTACTAGGCATTTCGAGATCCCAAGCTATGTGCGACTGTGGACTCAAAGGACAATCTCCTTTTACCAGGGATAACTATTCCTAAGCCTTTGCCTCATGTTAGCCCAATCTATATAAAAGATTGTATATCCAATCCTTTCCATCAGACCCTTTGCCCGCCTACCTGGGTTGGCTCTTGAGACTTTTTGTTCCGATAATCTGCATCAGAGCCTTAATGGATTTTTGTCTGTCTCGGATTTACATCTGAAAGCATGGCACTTGCCTTTCTCTCACAGTAATATTAGAACGAACGAAATAAATCTCCAAAGATTGCCACTCCAGCAGCCACACTACCCGCTACGATACCAATAGTCGTCGTGGCATGTCTGTGATCCGGCTTCCCATACTTTCTAGGAATACCGAAGCTCCTTCACGGTACGATATTGGCACCCCGTATTCACTATCCACCCACTTGTAACAAACAAGGCTTGCCATTGTAGAAGTATTGTATCTCCTGCGAGGAAGAAGAACGGCTTGATGAATCTGAACAGCAGAGCTTCCTCGCCCGGCGCTGATGCTTTCAATCCTAGCTATATAGTCCTGTATTCCTTGGTTTACACCAGTTACGTTCCACTAATAATAGTTCAGCCTTTCTTCAAGCGGGAAAAAGCAGGGAAATGGAACGAAATACTATTCTCCTCGACGGCAACCAGAGCCCGTCCATTAGTTGCAGGACGGAGGATTCTATGAGCAAAAACAAACCATCTCCAACGTAGGTGGCCGGTCTATTTTTTCCGAATATTGCTACATCTTTGTCGCTGTCAGAACGTGGGAAAGTACTAACGGCAGCTTATTGGTAGTGCTCACTTTTCCTTAGGGGGAACAATGGCTCCACAGACTATGGAAGTGCCTATGACCGCTACATCCTCCATGGATTGGGTTGCCCTTTGTCTCTGTTATTCCGACCAAGCGCTTTCCTCCGACCGCTGGCTCTCGGACTTCCGCGGCAGGAAGAATCGTGAGGAAGTAGGCATCAATAAGTGTAGCTGTCAGCCAAAAGATCTACCGCCATCCGCCAGCTTCCACAACGGAATGTCCAATGATTGGTCCGACGATTGGGACAGCGATATTTCCAAGCCTATAGAACATGAATACTGGAGCCGTCTTACCGGCTTAGTACAACTTCCGTAGATCGTTTCGGACTTCCACAAATATGGCCACCAATGGAGAACTCAATTTCCCGAAATGACACAGGCAACGGTTAGAGCCCGGAAGCTGGCTCTGTAGCACCGACGTTAGTGAAAACGAGGTGAAGAAACAGAGAGCATTTAATGATCCACTTCTCCGACAACGCCAAGGAGAGGAAAGGAACAATCACCTGTAATGCATAAGGCAAAAAGGGTCGTAGCGAATGTAGACTAAACTGAAACTCTGCTCTAATGTTAGGAATGCTGTCAAGGCCGGCTCTTGACCACCCCAATGGGGCATCACAAGTGGACAAAGATGGTGCCCTCCACCTGGAGGGAAGGGAGATGGGCGATCCGGAGCATGCTCTGGGTCAACAAAGAAGTCGAAGCAGAGCAAGTCCCTATGGATTCTCCAGACATCACAGCAGCGGTGATTAGGCTCCCCGAGCGAGTGGTCTTCACGGCATCAGTCTACGTAGAAGGGGGCAATGTCTCCGCTTTGGACGATGCGTGCAGTCGTTTACGCGGTGCGATCACGAAGGTACGACGGGACACCGGTGCGGTGGTCGATATTTTGATCATGGGGGACTTCAACCGACACGATCAACTTTGGGGTGGAGATGAGGTGTCGCTGGGAAGACAAGGGGAAGCGGATCCGATCATCGACCTCATGAATGAGTTCGCGCTCAGTAGCTTGCTCAAACGCGGCACCAAGACATGGCATGGCGGCGGACAAAGTGGAGACTGCGAGTCTACCATCGATCTAGTCCTAGCTTCAGAGAATTTGACGGAATCCATGACGAAATGTGCTTTACTCGAGACAGACCACGGCTCTGATCACTGCGCCATTGAGTCCGTGTTCGACACCCAGTGGTCGGGCCCAAAGCACCAAGAGCGACTTTTACTGAAGAATGCACCATGGAAGGAGATTAACGCCAGGATTCAAATGGCTCTAGCCACCCTTCCGTCGGAGTGCACTGTACAGCAGAAAACGGATCGGCTGATGGCGGCAGTTTCGGAAGCGGTGCACGCTTTAACACCGAGAGCGAAAGCATCACCCCATGCGAAGCGATGGTGGACAACTGACCTCACTCAACTCCGTCACATATACACGTACTGGAGAAACCGCGCTCGCTCCGAGCGACGGGTAGGTCGAAGAGTACCTCGGCTTGAAATGATGGCCCAGGATGCGGCCAAACAATACCACGATGCCATCCGCAAACAAAAGAAGAAGCACTGGAACGATTTTCTCGCAGACAACGACAACATCTGGAAAGCCGCCAAGTACCTCAAGTCGGGGGACGACGCCGCGTTCGGGAAGATTCCGCAGCTCCTCAGAGCAGATGGAACTACTACCAACGATCACAAGGAGCAAGCGGAGGAACTGCTATCCAAGTTCTTCCCGCCTTTGCCAGAGAACATCGACGAGGAAGGAGTGAGACCACAAAGAGCGCCTGTAGACATGCCAGCCGTGACTATGGAGGAGATAGAGCGGCAGCTGTCAGCGGCCAAGTCGTGGAAGGCACCTGGTGAAGACGGCCTACCGGCGATCGTTTGGAAGATGACGTGGCCCACAGTCAAGTACAGGGTCCTCGATCTCTTTCAAGCCTCGTTGCAAGAGGGCACAGTGCCAAGACAGTGGAGACACGCGAAGATCATACCGCTCAAGAAGCCGAACAAAGATGATTACACCATTGCAAAGGCATGGAGGCCTATCTCACTCCTTGCGACACTCGGAAAGATACTCGAATCGGTGGTCGCAGAGAGGATCTCGCACGCGGTGGAGACGCATGGACTGCTCCCGACGAGCCATTTTGGGGCCCGAAAGCAGCGGTCCGCAGAGCAAGCACTGGTGTTCCTGCAGGAGCAAATCTATGCGGCGTGGCGCGGCCGGCGAGTGCTGAGCTTGATCAGCTTCGATGTCAAAGGAGCCTACAACGGAGTATGCAAAGAACGACTGCTCCAGAGGATGAAAGCCCGAGGCATACCACAGATCCTGCTTCGTTGGGTTGAGGCCTTCTGCTCGGAACGAACGGCGAACATCCTGATCAACGGGCAAGTATCTGAAACTGAAAGCTTGCCACAAGCCGGGCTGCCGCAGGGCTCGCCCCTGTCTCCGATTCTATTTCTTTTCTTCAACGCAGACCTCGTGCAAAGACAGATCGACAGCCAGGGAGGAGCAGTCGCTTTCGTGGATGGTTTTACCGCGTGGGTGACCGGTCCGACCGCGCAGAGTAACCGGGAAGGAATTGAAGCCATCATCAACGAGGCGCTCAACTGGGAAAAGAGAAGTGGAGCGACCTTTGAAGCGGACAAGACGGCTATCATACACTTTGCTCCCAAGATGCGCAAATCGGACCATGAGCCGTTCACCATCAAGGGGCAGACGGTGGTACCAACAGACCACGTCAAGATCCTGGGTGTCGTGATGGACACAAGACTCAAGTACAAGGAACATATTGCGAGGGCAGCGTCCAAGGGTCTTGAAGCAACGATGGAGCTTCGGCGACTCCGTGGTCTATCCGCAGCGACTGCGCGGCAGCTCTTCACGTCAACGGTGGCACCGGTCGTAGACTACGCCTCCAATGTCTGGATGCACGCATGCAAGGATAAGGGCATGGGACCAATCCACCGAGTCCAGAGAGTAGGCGCACAAGCCATTGTGGGGACATTTCTTACGGTCGCGACTAGTGTCGCAGAGGCGGAGGCTCACATAGCTACTGCGCGGCGTCGATTCTGGAAACGATCCGTGAAAATGTGGACAGACATCCACACCTTGCCGGGAACCAACCCTCTCCGCCGGTGTACAGATCAGATCAGAAAGTTCAGAAGATACCACCGCTCACCGCTGTATCATGTAGCCGATGCGCTTAAGCACATCGACATGGAGACTTTGGAGACGATTAACCCCTTCACGCTTGCCCCGTGGGCGGAACGCGTGCAGACCGATGGTGGTGAACAGCTTGAGGGCCCGGCCGAAGCGGGCGGGTGCATGCAGGTCGCGGGTAGCAGTTCGGCACGGAACGAGCTGGTGGGTTTTGGAGTGGCCCTCGAGAAGCGACCACCTCGAAATCGAAAGCTCAAACACAAAACGCTATCCATCACCTTGGCCGCAAGAGCAGAGCAGAATCCATTCTCTGCGGAACTGGCAGCCATGGCACACGTATTGAGCACGGTGCCAGGGCTGAAAGACTACAGGATCACACTGCTCACAAGCAACAAAGCGGCGGTTCTCACACTCAGAAACCCTCGACAGCAATCTGGCCAGGAATTTGTCTGTCGGATATACAAGTTGATTAAAAGGTTGCAGAGAAACCGAACCCATGTTCAATTTCGCTGGGTTTCTGCCAGTGAAGACAACAAGCTGCTAGGCCTGGCTAAAGTACAGGCTAGAGCCGCGACACAAGAAGACGCCCTCCTACAAGAAAGCGCCCCAAGGATGAAATCGACCACACTGAATCTCGCACGGTCTCAAGCAGTCCCCAGAAATACCTTGCCAGCGGACGTCGGAAAGCACGCCAAACGAGTAGATGCAGCACTTCCAGGAAAACACACGCGACTGCTGTATGATCGCTTGTCATGGAAGGAAGCGACCGTGCTAGCCCAACTCCGGACGGGCATGGCGAGACTGAATAGATACCTCTATCGAATCAACGCGGCCGCCACTGATCAGTGTGCATGCGGACAGGCCAAGGAAACTGTGGAGCACTTCCTCTTTCGATGTCGGAAGTGGACCGCACATCGGACGGAGATGCTACAATGTACCGACATCCACCGAGGGAATCTATCCTTCTACCTGGGAGGGAAGTCGCCCTCCGACGATCAAAGGTGGACGCCAAACTTAGAGGCAGTACGGGCCTCAATACGATTCGCCATAGCCACAGGCCGCCTCGAGGCCACTTAACCCCGCCGACGAACATAAATCACCCCTTTCATTCTAACCTAACCCACCAACCACCTCGTGCTACTCATGGTGGACGCGCTTCAACTGCCGAAGATAGGATGTTGAACACTTGGAGAAGCGCCTTCAAGCCAGTCTACTAACCGCATTACTAACCCACGAGCATCCGCTGCGACACTGCATGCTGAGAATGACAAATACGCCAAGGTCTTGTGAATGGGCTCCAATGAGTCACAGAATTGTATATACTAAGACATGTATAGTAGTTTAGCGATAGTTGCCCTTTCGGCTCAGCCGCCGGGCGTTAATGAATTGTGTGTGTGTGTGTGTTAGGAATGCTGGAAATGTAGATCAAATTTGGCGGGGCGCTCTATTAAATCTTAGCCAAAGCTCCAATAGCTAATATCTGAACCTACATAACGAGGCTATTGCAATGATAAGGATCAAATTCTTTATAGCACTACTACACCGGCCAGCACTATAGTTGGCAGGTGACTTTCGTGAAATGTGTAATGCCGCTATCCCAGAGAGCGGTGTCACTAAAGCTGAGGGTCGAGCTGGGCGGCGTGGCTTCTGCTGTCTCCTAATTCATCATGTTCTCCAATCCTGATCAGGGTCAGGGCTATTAAATGGCAGCTGCTGGGGTGTATCCATATTGGAAAACAAGTAGTGGTGGTTGAACAAGATATACAGCCCATGATGGATAGTTGGAAGAATACGCTGCCGACAGGCTAGGGTCCAGCACGAATATTCAATATTCTAAGCGGGGAGCCCGTAGCGACAAGACAGCATGGAGATATCTTTGAGTGATTTACCAAGAAATGTGAACTTGTCTCGTCATACCCCTGCACATGTTATTCATCCGGGCCACCCACAACGAGTAATGGCCGATAAAGGCCTAGGCCTCATTGAGGGTTATTCAGTTATTCAACCATACTATTTGCAGTCTATAATGCAGGTATTTAGGAAGAGATAAAAAGCTTAGCGACAATGGCCATGATCGCTACATTTTATAACATTTTTCGGTATGCTGTGCGTGATGAAACCATTTGTTCTAGCCCCACGTAGGGCCTTGGGTGTAGGACTTTGTCTCTGATCTTCGTCATTGACGCCGGTCTCGCTCCAAACCTTCATATGTTTCGTCTGACTTTCAAATGTCACATCTAGATCCCCAGACTTGACTGTCATTAAGTTTCCATAGTGCCACTCTGCTGGCGTGGTGGACAATGACAGACGGGGATGGTAGAGCGACGCAGGTGTGATTGACTGAGCGGTGGTATCCCGCACTTTAGTGTCTTTTTCTACCTCGTACCACTGCGCTGCCTTGATCCCGGATCTCGGATGGGGTCAAGTTGAAATCATGAAACACTTGAAACAATCCTTGATGCCATTGGAAGCGATTAAGTTACATACGATGCAGTCGGTACAAGTAGTCTAGCTAGCCCGGGGTATCGCGCTTCGATACAGTGTGATGGACCATAGAATCGTAATTTCTCCCGTGTGCGGGAGAGGAGGCAAACGTGGCGTTAAAAATGGCCTCGGCTAACGAGGATTTTTGAATATTTGCGGAGAAAGATGAAAGCTGAAAGGAGCGTCGGGGCTAAACGTAAAAAGTAACTTTGAAGGCTATTTATGTAGGCTATTTATGTCGGCTATTTATGTAATTGGCGGATGTTCTATTTGCTTTACCAATATACCCCCCGCGGTGGGGGGTTTCTCTCGAAATAGATCTGAGTCAAAGACCTTTCGCGAGACTGATTGGGTGTAGCTGTCTGAGTGTTGTGGGTAAAGGCACTCGGTGGGTTTGGATATCTGTTCAGAATAGATCAAGTCCCATGCAACTTTCGAACCTTTGACATAGAGCCCATTTAAACAGCAGAGACAACCAAAAATACAGTACATATGAGTTGATATGTAAGGCATGTGCTGTAGAACTTTACGGCTACATAGTATTATGGTTGTTTAGTACGCCCAGGCTCAGGTACCCAATATTGACCTCGGAGAAATTGTATACGTCAATGCTAAGTCAAGGTTGGCGAAATAAAATACGCCGTCAATATCATGGAACCCCTTCTCCCACATTCACGTAAGGTGGGCAAGAAGATAGTTCCTAATCTTGCCGACTTCCATCATCGGGCCCTGAAGCCATTATTAACATCGGAGACAGTGTTGTCATGAGAACCACTGATTCCGGATATATCTGCTCAAATATCGCCACTAATTGCGTATATAGCAAGTAACTTAGAAGTAACATCACATAAAGCTTAGGTATCAATAGATTGACAGATGAGCATGAGTTGTGTGCGAGGAATTTTCCTTAAATTAGCACTCAGCTGGGTTCTCTTTGCAGTGAAAGAAAAAAAGAAATTCCTTACAATATAAAGGTAACTTGTACAAGAAACACAAAAGTCAAGGAAATAACCATACGAGATCCCGTTTGAAACTTCGAGCGCGAAGACTAACATTACACAATACCACACCATCAAAGTAACGCAATCTCCCTACATGATTTGTGACACATTCACGTAAAGCACATAGTTTGGGGCAGAATCATGTGTTGATCTATTTTGTCGAGTCAGACAAACGCCTTAAGCCCCCACCAGCAAGTTGCGAATCCGCGCAGCGTACCCGTGAGGCACTGGCTCCTAGCTGTTGCAAATTTTATGATTTCTTCAGCACGTGACCTAACCCTAGTTCCCGCGTACGAGGTTTAAATAGATCTTTCATGTGTTGTTCTTCGTCACGTCGCAGCATGCCGATGATGATAGGGCGAGCCCAAGGCAACGTACCATACTTTTGGTTACATGTGATAGCACGCAACTGTAATGCCATGCTGTACTATATTGTCACTCCGTCGCCCACCAGAACTACCTCATCGCTGTCTTGATCCTCACTATCGTCACAAGTGCTGTCATTCTCACATTGGGTCTCAGAAAGTCGTCGACGACAAAGCGGGCAGATACCACCTACTCTGCGCCATTGGTTGATACACTCAAGGTGGAACGCATGCGAGCAGGCAAGGATCGCAACTTCTTTGCCTGATTGGACCGGATCCCAGCAAATAGAACAGCATTCAGGGTTATCGGACTCACAGCGTAACATTTGCAAAGCTAACTTACTCAAGATCTCGATGCTACACCGTCTGGAGCCCATCAATACTTAACGCATTCATTATATACCACTTTTTGGGAATCTTCAAATCTGCCCTGTTCAAATTTTGGTCTGGACCTAAATGATCATGCTGCCATGAACAGTTGAGAGTTAAGTGAACATGTGGAAGGTAAATGGCAACACGACGAAGGCCATTTCGGCAGAAAGCACCGAGACCCCTTTAGTCCTCGGCTAGTCTTGGAACTTCATCGAATTTCCTATAGTCTTACCGTTCTGCAGTAGGTCTTAGGTCTTCCGGTATTGACCGCTTTGTCAAATACTTTCCCTAGAACAAAGTAACATATACTTAGGACAAATCCTATTGACAAAGCAAGGCCATGTTTATGGGCTAATTCGTTATAATTGCTCTACAAGGACACGAAGAAAGTATGATGGACAAGCCAAGTTTGGCTGCCGTTCTTTTGCGACCTTCGGCCGAGACGACGCATGACCATCGTATGTTGGCATTACGAAATTGCTAAGTATGATAGAAATGACTATATATCATGCACTTGCACAAATTTTCTCAAAACGGGGTCAAAATGCCGAGGGAGTTTCGAAAAAGATCATGCATTCGCAATATATGCTAGGTTATTAGATGAACACAGCCAAACAGTTGAACCAGAAACCTAGACCAAGTTTTACGTGAATCGAGCGCAATGATTGATAAACTTGGGGCTTTTTTATGCCATAGGAGTTATAGATAGAGTTCAAATAACATATAGTTTTGATTATTATTTTTTAGCATGCACAATGGCGGTCCGTGGTATTCATGCTTGATTGACAAATATATATTTGGGCTTGCTGCGCCCTTACCGGTAATGCCAGAGATTTCGATTGTCAAATTCTATAGTTTGCTCGTTCACGTATTCCGTGAGATACCACCCCTGTGACATTAAAGCGCAAATCCTCAAGCTGTCTTTTCGTGAAAACACGGAGCACCAGCGTCTGCCAATTTCGCTTAGGTATTTCATCGCTCATATTTGGAGAAAAAACGATCTCGACCGATTGGCCGCGCTGAGCCAAAACGCACTCTACACCACTGTTAGACACCGATAAGATTTATGAATAACTAAGCGATGGCATTTTGCTTAGAGAGGACTAACTTAAATTGCAACCTTTCCGGGCACGACCCTTTGTGAGCGTTATGGAGACTCCGTTGCAGCTTTCACTATAATGACGACACGAAGGGTAACAGACGACTCTAGGGCAAGACATTATTGTATCTTTCTTAGTGATGCTTTTATATGTAGTGTGAAGCAGAAGCATTAGGCCACACCTATCATTTCCTTAAAAAATCAGACGCGAAATTTGGTTAGGAAACGAACCAAAAGGCGTAGATAGCTCTTTATCGTGTACTGTGGTCTATTCCAGACATTGAGAGCGTCACATTTTTGAGACTCACACAAAGCCATATATCCCATCAGAATACCTTTTATAAGGCCTTAGTTAAGCCTGGTCTGAAGTGGCATCGGGTTTAGATGCGGGCCAGTTTTTGAATTTTTCTTTTACTTTTTTTTTTCTTCTTCTTCCGAGCTGTTCCGCCTGGTAAGCTCCGCAGTGCCCGAAGAGAGACGATTGCCCTCGCAGCCGCTTTCTCACGGTAATGGTAGAATTCCAGACCTGATCCAGCCCACGTTGCCGCAACTCTCAATGAGGTCTTTGTGGTGGATGGGATAGGGATTCGGTGAGATCGGCGGCCCCTGAGGGTCGCTCATGGAAATCAGACTCGATCGGACATACCTTCGGGCATACGAACTCTGGAGCTTCGATTGATTAGGAAAGCCCTCACCTAAGGCACGAAGTACCTCAGGCGTCGTTTCTCGTGAGCTACAGACACTTCCAGCATTAACAGGGATACCACAGGTTTGCCTTTCCCCCATAATGTTTCGCTTCGACCTAGTATGGTGTGGACAGCATGATCATGGAGTATGCATATTCGGCTCCTAGATGGGTAAGTGGGGGTAGACCGTTGGTTTCTACCGCATAGCTGATTAGCCGTGCAATAATTGCCTCGAAGAACTTTCCTTTGGGTGTGTTCAACAACGCAAGTTAAGTTGTCTGTAGGATTTGCTAGTCGGTGGTCGCTTTTGCCTTGTTTTCGAAGCATAAATCGAGCGCTGGAGATGTGACGAATCGTGGCTAGTACTTTAGCAGGCGTGGAATAACTGTACTAGTGTTTCCAGAATCACCGGTATCTCGATAGGCTTGTGTCAGAGAGAGTTCGGTATGCCGCCTTCTTCCGGTACTTTGCCTGCTTCATTCCTCGCACTGCTTCCTGTAACTCTTGAGCCGTTATGGAAATTCGATCTGCTATTGGTACTGGAATCGAGTCTGTACCGGACATATCGGCTAGCGATGGTTGTAGAAAGAAAGCATTCTTGAAAGCTTCTGCCTTTTGTCCCCGGCGAGATTTCCAGACGCTTGATAATCTTGGAGAGCGGTGTCCTTTTATTGTAGGCCCCATTGTGCCCGTCGCCACATGCCTCATGGACCCGGTGCCCCCCTCCCATAATAGATTTGGCTGTAGAACACCGCCTCCGTCGTTGACTCACAGGTCGCTTGTCCGCCGTGCCCTACGTTTATCAAATACTTTCGCGTATGTAGAGCGTTACTTTCTTGATTATGGTATCTCCGTTGTATTGTGTACCAAATGGGTTTTATGGAAAAATTTGAAACCTAAACAACGTAAGGAAAAGGAAGGCGGAGCTCAAGAGCGGATAATAAAAAGTCGAAATTATCAATAGACAAACCATGAATAGCAGACATAGTCTTATTTTATCTAGTATTAAAGGAAGGGGGTGGTCATAAAAGCGGGCCTCGCTACCATCGACGCTCTCCAAAGACCGAGTTCACCTGTCCATTAGGGATAAGTCAATTCCAGAAGAAGACCGCAAAAGAACGAAGATGTAGTATGAAACACTTGCTGATAAATGATTTAATTGAGTATGGCCCTAGATCGTGCAATAAATGCCGTTTCTATCGATTCTAAAGCAGCAAGGCATGTTTTCGGTATGTGCTTTATCACTAGACGATTGCGTTTGCTTTTGTTGCTGTTTGTGAAGGAACCCATGGAAAAGCAGGGCCCAAGGTCTACGAGATGTAACATAATAAAGGCTCCTACAAACATCTTGCTGAGGCAAACAGGTACACTGTTGTTTTGGGATCGCTAAAACGACGGCATGACCATACCATAGAGGCGTAGATACCTGATGAGTACATGTAAACTATAGTAGTAAGCTGAAAGTATTAATACGTCACGGATAGTGCCGGTGATCTTGCGGAGAGTAAAAATACACATTAATTTAATATATGGAGCATGTCGCGGCTATAATCATTTCTCTGCTAGTGATATTCATTTCTTTCAGTCGAAAAAGAGCAATCTTCACAAATTAAAGATCGAACTGTTTTTCATCTGATCAACTTGAGAACATTCGGTTTTTCCAATCTCATGGTAGTGTTTTCATATCAATCAGTAACACCTACATGGCTGCTACAGATTATGGTACGACAAGTCCGTGGTTCTGATATATGCAATACCTACCGGCAGAATCGATTTAATATAACAGAGCACTGGCACTCGTCAGGCAATTCAAACCTTTGATGGCTATGCACGTTCTGCCATAAGAACGCGAAAAGAAAAAAAGAAAGAAAAGAAAAAAAGAAAGAACACAAGAAAAGTCAGTTCTAGGCGGCAGTAAGTTCATTGCCCAGGATCATGCAACAACCAACTTTGGCTGTCATATCAATTCTTTGGCCCTCGCGATAAATGGACCGTTGTTCGAGGTAGTCCGGGCTTTTCGTAACAGTCAAACTCAGTCAGAGGTTATGGACAACTACAGCATCATAGTCGTTTATCGTTATACACTGCAGCAATGAACGGGATTATGACAATGTATAACTTCTACTCGAACACCAATAGTATATGCTTTATCGCCTTGAAGGTTTGAATTCTCGTCTCTTCTTTTGGCGTTGGGTACAGTACTACTGAGTTGAAGGAAAGCATATGTGCTTGGCTTTGAGTTATCCTGTTATCTACAGTATTTGGCTTTCTATGAGAGACAGACAGCCTGCCGTAGTCACGAGCGGTATAGTAAATTTGTTCATGGCTGTTAGCACCTGTTGGAACTGGATACATGGAGGCGGATAGCTATTTCATTGTGATAGTCTTAAGAAAGCCTTCCGGAGAGAGTCCCAGTCTTTTGGTCAAGCATGATAAACCATGATGTCGCTGACGGGTATAAAACACGCAACCAGATCACCTTGAGCAGAGGGTAAATCAAAACCAACATAGCTTTGCCGACTATATAGAAGGATCCCGGGGATTGATACAGAAATCCAGCCGGGATGGCGACACCGATCATCTCAACTATTGCAAGATGAAAGAAGATAGCAGATGCCGCTTCGAGAAAGATTTTCGATTCAGGAACCCAACCGGAGATGTGACCTAACACAGCACTAAGTAAAACACTTAGTTCAATATTGATCAGAAGAAACTTTCGTCAAACCAAGCTTGATTTCTCGAAATAGTATAGTCGGCGTCCCCTAACAAGCCAGTTAAACTGATGATGAGTCCAAAAAGTGCTTTATCAGACATTGTAATATGTAACATAGGGCTTAGCGATCATGTGCGTTAGACGGAACCGGCACTCTCTAGAAGTCTACGATGGTGCTCCTTAGTAAGTTGGAAGGTGACAAACGCCAAAAACGTACTTCGTACTAATCTGAGCATGAGCCTGGAAATGATCACAATTCGTACAGTATGTCTACATGTTAGAGTAATGTATGTGCGACTCACGGATATCCCCGGTTGTGGCCATAATAGACGATTCATTTTATTCCCAGCTGATCACTACGTAGCGAAAATTGTCTATTTCGGTGCCCTTGTCTATTAATGATTACTTGGTCAAAGGTGCATCCGATACTGTTTTGTAATTATGTTGATATTCGGGTCACAGTGACAGCATCCATTCTTCTAAAAGATATTCCCTTACTATGCCGGCTTTTTCAATGAGCCGGGGCAAAAAGGCCTTACCTGACGCAGGATGATATTATAGATTCCTATGGAACCAGTTGCAGATTGAATGGGTGTATGTGAAAATAGCTACAGAATAACCACAGTTTAATTCTTAAAGAAGCCTCGAGCTTCCCTGAGATTATCCATGGCTTAGATGCAATCGGCATTACCGCGCTGCTCTTGAGGCACGGAGCTTCCATAGGAAGAGGCCACCCACACTGCAATAGCGTTCTTGGGTCATTTTGTTGTTCTCTTATGTAACTTGGTCTCTAGTTTTGACAAGACTGAGGAATTTACGTTCTAAACTCACAACATTTCCTCCTAGCTGCCATGGCATGTCCTTCAAATAGAGTCAGCCCCACAAGGGTTGGCCATTGTTTCTAACAGAGGCGGCGGTCTTCAGCTTGCAACTAGTGTGTTTCTAGTTATCTAAAAGCCACTAGAGAGGCGCTCATTTCAATCAACACGTAGGTTGGACTCTTTGTTCAGGACACCTTGGGATTGATTAGCATATACGGTCAATACTATGCTCTCATGCGACGACAAAAACCACATTCATCGCTTCTTTCATTCTCTTAACTACCACTACGGTCGTTGTTGTCTGCTTTGGCAGGAAAAAGGTTTATATTGAGTTCTTTCTTAGAAGTGAATGATGTGAATGAATTCAAATAGGCGAGTAGGAGGTGCGCTGCACCGAGAAACCGATATCCCGGTAGGAAAAACCTTTGAGATTTGTCATTGACAAACAAAGGACAAAGGATAACAAAGAGTAAAGTTTCAGCTTATGAGAGATAGTTCCGTAATATTCTGATAAAGCCTTTATACATGTGCCCCACAATTAGTGATTAAAGGAGGCCATACTCTGCATATATCTCGTCGGACTTGACGTTATGCAGCTACCAGTTATACTTGGTATTGAGATCAACAATCTTCCGGGCAATGTTCGATGTTTCCAGAAAGAATGGCAAGGGACTTGGAGGGTCATAAATCTAATATCGCTATATTGTAAAGCGATGTTGACAATATCACGAAGCGAAGGACAAATGAGCCGACATGTCGTCATCGCTCACATTCATATGTGGTATAAAAGGGCAGGCCCAGGTGCTATAAGCCCGTTCTGGGCCACTGGCTTCTAGAAAAATGGTAATCAAATCTGGCAGTCCGTTAAACCGAATTCCGGTCGAGGTCTGGCTCCTCATAGCAGAAAAGCTCTCGGTTAGGGATCTTCAGGTGATGGGTGCCACCGATAAACACGTGCGGAGTATTATAATGCCGCTACTTCGTGGATGCAAACTTCTCCAAATGATCACCCGTGAACCTGAAAGCTCGTCGGTGGAGTTCCTTATAAAGTCGGAATATGTCGATATCCGAGTTAAAGACGCTCACCATATGACGGCCCTGCACTACGCGGCTATGAAGAACTACAAAAGATTAATCCGGTTCCTTACGACGAATTCGCAGCACAAGACATTGCTGAATGCGCCAGAGAACCGACGAGGTGATACTCCCTTGATAATTGCTGTTCGATGTCAAAACGAAGAAGTTATGCGACTATTGTTGGACGCAGGCGCAGATGCCAACGTGCTAAACGCTCACGGTGAAAGCGTTCTCTTCTGGACGATCAAGCGCCAACAGCCAAATCTAGCACGCATGCTGCTGAACAGAGGAGCAGACCCAAACCAGATTGTTCGGCATGGCCTCACCCTACTGATTTTGGCCATCATGTCGGGCTGTCTCGGCTCGGTGGCAGCATTGCTAGAACAAGGATGCGATGTGGAGCAACCTGATGGCCAGGGCCATCGGCCTCTCGCCTGGGCCGTTGTTTCGGACGATATTGCAACTGCACGGCTCCTGATCTCATATAATACAAAGATTTCTGTTTATTCGAGTGGAGATAGAGAAGAGCGCTCACCGCTTGTTTGGGCTGTGATGATGGGTAACGTGGATATGGTCCGTTTGCTGCTCAGCCAAGGCGCTGATACCGAACATACACAACTGGACCGCCGGGCCCCACTCATATGGGCCGTCATCCATCGTGATAAGTCCGTGGCTGAAGTGCTTCTTCAGAGTGGAGCGCGCCCTAACGAAACCGACGGTAATGGTCAAACAGCTCTTGCGTGGGCCATATTGAATAGCGACAAAGAAATGGTAGAACTTCTTCTCGAGTATGGGGCTGATGCCGAAGGAATTCGAAGAAATGAGTGGCTCGCAGCCTTTGTCCCTGGCGTTGAGCGTGAAAGAACAGTTTTAACTCATTAATAAATTTGAAGGAGATTAAAATTGGAAGATAATGGCCCATTAATGTTCATCCATCATAAACTGCAGAACCCTCATAGCCTCCAATTCACATCCCGATGCCGCCGTCGTCGGACTATTCAAACACTTTCCAAAAGTACTATAATATCATAGTATGGTGTCTGAGCTGTGGAATACTATATTTCGACTTGTTACCGCTGATACTAATTTTGTACGTCAGTCTATTGAGCCCCGTATTCGATCAATTATGTGATTCCAGGCTCCTAACAGCCCAACCGCATTGACTCTGCGAGGGTTGAAGTACGGCAAGAGAATACTGCATGCCGAAATTTTCGTGAACTCATGCTCCTGCGCCACCTGTGTATCTACGACCAAACCCTGTTCCTTGGGACCAATGAACACTACTGGCAGGAAACAGCCTTGTAAGGATCGGATTCATCATGGAGCATAGTGTATGCCCTAAGCCTATCAAATAATTTTTTTTGCAGATACTCATATGAGTATGCAGGATTCAGCCTTGTTCTGAGGAAGGCGAAGGTATGGGGCCGAATTTAGACGCGACAAATTGAAGGCTGCTCAACTAATTTCGGGTGGAACCATATCACGGATACATGTGGCACATCAGCATATCTTTTTACCCAAAACTTTATGCCTAGAAAGCAAAACCATCAATTTTACATCCAACCCTGAGATGCGGTAGCCTTTTGAAAGTTCCAATGACGTGCTCATAGTCAGCGTTGGAGATCACAGACCGGTATCATGCCTACGTAGGTCCGAGACCTACAAGCAAATCCATATGCCTCCTTTTTTGTAGCATACTAGGTCTAAATATTCGCGATGGATCTTGTGTAAAACGTGTAGAGACAGCGACATGAAGACACCGTAGGGACGCGCTCCTGGCAAATTGTCTCAAATATTTAGCAGCCGAACCTGGGAGTATTGTTCAGAAATATATGCCATGGCCGGAATTTCGAATCTTCCATGTGTTCAACATCATCTCTCTTTTTTCCTAGGAGTAGGTGACAGTGATGGTAGTGAATATCACGTCGAAACAGATTCAGGCATTAATCTCTAGGACGGTAAGCGACACGACACCTATTGACTGGTACCGGTCTATTGCTCAACCTGGTAGCTTCATTAATCACAACTAGATATAATGAACGGAATGCTTATGCTGCCTATTTTTTGTCGGTGCTTCCTTCACTCATATTCAGGAAATACATGTAGCTACAAGCAAGGGTTTAGCTCTAGGCACGGTCATATCAGGGCCTACAACTTTATAAGCAAGAAGGTGTGTCAACCAAAGCAAGAAGTTCAAGATCGGATCCACTAGCTGGGACTAGACGCCAATAGGCGCCGATTGTCTACGAGGTGAAAATGGATTAAGTGAGTACTCCACAGATGTAGCAAACATTGGCAATTCAACCTTCTAAACCTTCAGGAAGAGCTCCCGCGGTTTACTCTCCAAGGTTGGTCACGGCTGGAACAGATTCACACAGTACTTCACAAGTTCAATGAGCTTACTTTGTTCATTTCGAAACGCAATCCACAAATCACCCTCACGGTCTCGATTTACTATGAGCTACACGAATTGCTTGATGACGTGAGGGAGGGAAATGGTGACTTCGCAAAACTTGATCGAGATATCATAGCTGCTGTGAAAGAAGGGATGAAGAAATACGAAAAGTACTACTCCATTATGGATGACTGCGACACCTACTACACTGCCCTCGTCTTGGATCCCCGCGTCAAAGGTGAAATGGTCTTACGGGAACTTCAAGATGGCGATGCAGGGACAATGATTCTGGACACTATCCGCACCAATCTCCATCAGGTATACGCGGCTAGTAGCCCGGAGCCTGATGCCGCTGAATCACAGTCGTCTTCCCTGAAGCATAGTGATGTGGAGTCTAGAATGCTGAAGAAGTTGCAGGCGCGAGATCCACCGCTCTCAGATATTGGTAAGTACTTCGACACCCCTCCGATCAGCGTCGCAGATACCACCGGCCAGAACTGGCTCTGTAATTGGTGGAAGATGCACAAGGGCGAGTATCCGCGGATGGCAGCAGCAGCGAGGGACTATCTAGCGTCTCCTGCTTCTGAAGTTGCTGTTGAGAGAGTCTTCAGTACAGCGAGGGATGTGCTAGGCATCCGCAGATAGCCTTTGAAAGGTGATACCATAAGAATGCTGATGTTGATTCGCGATGGATATAAGTGGTAGCGGTCAAGGAATTTAATTAAATTATGCCATGGCGATCTTCCGGTTTTGCACTCACAAATTGTCAAATAAAACTGCTGTTCGACGAAAGCCCGTTCGCTCTCTGGATAATTCTAAAGGAAAAATGTGCCGATGCCGATACGATATGACGATATCGTGAGTTGCGATATCGTCAAATTTGAGGCCCGCCGATATCGTACCGGCAATCGTCATCGACAAATTCAAAGGCAGCCGATATCGTACCGGCAATCGTCATCGACAAATTCAAAGGCAGCCGATATCGTATCGTCAATATCGGTATATCGGCAATATCGTCAACAGCCCTATGATGAGATTATTTTATTGGGGTTTTTTCGCGTAGTGTATTTACTGCGAGAGGTGTAGCTGTATGTGAGGAATATTTGGTGATTTGACGCTGTTTAATCTAAAATTTGTGTCTAGTCGCTGATCGATGCGGTGGGCCTACTCAATTCCGATGGCATGGAAATGATATACCCTATCTTCAAAGACGCGGAAAATATGGAAGATCCGGACTATAAGGAGAAATTCCCTACAATTCCATTTCCAAACAAGCCTCGTCGACCCAACAGTGGGAAGGAGTACAGACGTCGCTTGGAAGAGGTATTATCCTAACAAAATCTAGTATTTGGAAACAGAGGATGCTGATTATAATTATAGTCTGGATTGACAAGAGTCTATAATCCCGATGAATACCGAATTAAGATACGCGGTATTGCGGTCTGGGACACTGTAGGAAGCTTAGGCATTCCTTGCACTATGGCTCCATGTCCAACCTTTTTTTGACACTCCAGGTATCCCCAATACAAACCTAGAAAAACGATTGCACATTCCCCGCTCTGCAAAAGAATAAGTACCCTACTATCCCCAATCCCATGATCCAGGATACTTACCAAATTATACATGCCAATTCTACGACACACGCCTTTCAAACGCAACCGAATACGCCTTCCAAGCCCTAGCTCTAGACGAAGACCGCACATCCTTCGCCCCAGCAGTCTGGCGTCCTCACCTATCTCCGCCAAGTGTGGCTCTGCAGCGCACACTACTCCAATGCCGGCGGCGGTCTTCCAGACCAAGAACTTGCAAACGTCGCTATGGCCTGGATGATGCATCAACTAACATCGATTGGCATAGCATTCCATGACGACACAATCGATAAAATCTTCGAGCAGACTGTGCGCTACTTCTTTGATCACCTGCACGGCTCTGGTGCCAATGGATCATCTAACTCTGAACAGTGGGCTGATAAATGTGTTTACGATGAACACAAGCCCGTTAGACCCTGGGGTCTAGGTGAGATTGTTCAGCCTGATACGGGATTCTATCATCTCGCTGGTAAGACGACTCGGACGCCGGGGCGGTATCGGCGTATTACCCTGAGATTGGGAAAACAACTTCGAGATTCTTAGTTGATACAAATGAGAGGATCCATCGGAGTGTACGGATCCGGCTTGATCCGGGTGGGCTGGGGTTTGATGATGTTGGTTTTGTATAAATGTAAGGCGTTTTTGAAGAAGGGGCCTTGGGAGCTTGAGAGGGTGAGGGCTGTTGTTAGTCGGAAGATTCAGGATCCGGATGGCGGTATGGGGGAGGTGATTGAGAAGTTTGAGAATGATCGGTGGGGGTGCATATATGCTGGGCGTAAGGAGGATGCACCAGACTATTCTGATGAAGGAGCCGTTAGGACCGTACGAGAAATGGTTCCTTCGTCTTAGTAAAGGTGAGTATGCAAGCAGCTTGTTGAGATGGGAAGGGTTTCTAATTATTCTGTTAATCTTTACGTCGCCCATTTTACAAGACTCTTCTAGAGGAGAGTAGGAGGTATTAAGGAACAAGAATATGGTTGCGGTACATATGTATACCCTTGCACGTACTAAGCATCCGCGAGTGAAACAAGTATGAGACTACATCCAATTTGCAGAATGGGTGTCTCGTGCCTTGTCAGCTACACGGGTAGCAGCAAGTTGCTAGCCCTAAATTTCATTAATAAACTCAAGGCATCACGTTCAGGGAGTGTGGTAGGGCGAAACTGAATTTATCATTCTTACCGTTGTTTCAATGCTCGGCAATAAATGTGAGATGGACGGTAGCCAAGCGGACAGGTTACTACACGTGTATCCGCGCAGCTTGGCCGATTTCATAATACTCACAATGCTAATTCACGTAAGTTGTTGATGACGTACCTTATAGCAACAAGGCATGGGCACAAATGTCTGAAATCCCTGCAGACCAAATTCATATAGCAGAGATTGAGTTTCTCCGCTATATTGACTACAGGTTGTTTTCATCGAACGCTAGGTGGTCTAAGGCGTATGAAGCTCATACACTTTGGCCAATAATGCCGTGATTGTTATCAAATGCCAAATAAGATTGATTCCGAGACAATACGTGCTACTCTAAGTGCGCCATAGCCCAAGCACTCAGTCAGTTTCTACCATCCACCATCTTTTCTAAAATTCACTTCTCTTGTGCATTTACAAAGCTTTGGTTTCTGAAGATAGCTTTGAGAAGTATCGGGGCCGTCTTAGGGAGACACATTAGATACGCTTAATTGATAAATTCATTCCGTGCCGGCTAAGAAGGTAGTCCTTCAGGGAACTAACCACATCTTGGAGACGCCGGCGATGAAGGAAGTTCACTCTGGCTGTTGGTGAAGAAATTCCTCACATCTATTCTACAGCTGAAATGTACTTTATCGTGACAGGAGCCTTTTCACTGCTCTTGTAGATATAAATTCTAGGGACTAAGCAAGGTACATAAAGGGTCCGGGATTTAAGTTCGACTGTAGTTAGTTGGTTCGAATAGGAAAGAAAAGAAAGAAAAACCGGAGATTTGGCTGTACCCTGACCTCACTAAACCTAGTACAGAGATTGTGTTGCGATAGCAGATGTCCACATGACATTGACAGAGGATTAACCCGAGTCAGTGTCACCTGAGAAACACGTATGTGAGTCGAATACTACACGGGAATGGTGTCTTCAGCGGGCTCACTCCGAATGTGTCGGCCAGAAAATACATTTCCCTTATATCTAAGCGTTGGAAAGAATCACCTAAGTGCGACTGGAATAAATTACCTCAATGTGGCAAAATACAATGACTAGTGTACTCCCGAATAGCGTAAAGCATGACCTTACATAGTAGCTATCTAGAAAAAGAAAAAAGGGAGGTGGGGACAAACGCTTTTAAGCTGTTGTGAAGCTACAGCGTGTGCTTCTCTCGGAGAGATAATGGTTACTGCCAGCTTACCTCAAAATCCGCTCTTTGTTTGGTAGTCCGTGTTGAAACTGTCGAGAAAAATGCCAGCCCCGCCGCGTCAGGGAGCCAGTTTTGGCCAGCTTCTTTTTGCAGGGCCGGTCTGGGAAAGTGTATCATTTCACTTGTCAATCCAGGACGTTCAATTCCTTGAATACTGCTCGAAAAAAGCGTACAATCAATCCCAGAACGAACAGAACCATCTTTTGAGCGTCTTTAGAAAAGACCTGAGCCAGTGGTTTGGTCGGGTCGGTCTTTTACACGATATCCTTCGGGCCACCGACGCAATATTGTCTGGGGCCCCTGTTCATAAGTTTTTACTGCCGGGTATTGCGGAGGTTACAGAAAACATTGAAATCTACGTGAGGGATGTCGATGCTTGCAGGCTTTTCAGATACCTCCGGGAGCAAGAGCAGTATGAACACGTACATGAGCCATTTGAGTGGGACTTCCACTGCTGCAGGGTACGACTCCACACTTTTAAGGACTCCTGGTAACCAAATATAGGTCTTCCGATTTAGCAAATCCGCCGAAAAAGCGAAATCAGACTATGTGCAAGTTGTGGTGTCATACACGGGCAAGATCGAGCAACTTTATGTCGAGTTCACCGGGGTGATGATGATGATGATGATGATGAATTCATTTGCCCGATGTAGCTTGCTCTATGTAAATGCTGCTATGCGGGAGTGCTATCGAGCCTGCCGACAGCTAAAAATGGGTATCCAGCCCTGTACATGATAGAGAGAGGCTCATCGTTTGAGCATTTCTCTGACCATATCGAATGTAGAATAAACTAAGACAAAAAGAAAGCGGGCTGCAAGTGTTCAACCACAGCCACTTGGCCCGCATGAAAATGAACGTTCCTGGTCCTCACCGCTTTCGTTGGGACCCCTGGTCCACCTCTGACCCCAGCTCTCCCCTTTCTCCACCTCCTCTTCCGCTGCCAGCAGACGCTTGTGTGCACGTTCGATTCAAGGGAGTACAGTGGACCTGGCACCGCACTCCTAGCGGGCAATATTCATCTCCTTCCGTCACACTGTCCATAGGGATCATTGTTTCTCTGTTCCGAGAGCTATTGGATCCAGCCCCTGGAACTGACCCAGGAGATTGGTTCTGATCATGAACTCTGCCACCATTGTGCGCGCCTCGAGGCGCGTCAACAATTCCTCGTGACAAAGCGTGATGCCCTGCTCAGGCAGGGCATTGCGCATCTCATCGCGCTCTTCTTGATGCAACGGGCACTCAAGTAGGACGTGTGTCACAGTCTGGTTGCCCAAGTCGCAATCGCATCGTGCGGTCTCGCGCCGATTGATGTGAGCCAGATACGCATTCAGTCCGATGCGCCCGGTCCGCAATTGCATCAGGATGGAGGCAGTTGCTTTGCGTAAACCCGACCAGTATTCCAGTGTTTTCTTGTTCGGTGTCTCGATCAGCCTTCTGGTCGGACGACCGGTCTTCTCTGATGCCCATGCTCTCTCCCACTCGATCCTCGCCTCTTGGCGGAATCGACGCTTTGTCGCTGCCGCGAGGCGAATGTATCGATTGAGAGGGTCTTGTGGATCGTCGGGTTTTTGGGCCGCGTCTTTTGCGTGCTGGTCTACGATCTCGTTGCCCAGCACTCCTTGGTGCGCTGGGATCCACCTGAGTTCGGTTGTGATTCCTTTCTCCGCTAGTCGACGGATGAGGTCCAGGCATCCTACCAGGTATACTTGACCTGAGGGCATGCGAGGTCGGCGGAGCGCTTTTAGCGCAGCCTGGCTGTCGACAAAGATGACCAGTCCATTCTTTGCTTGCGCGACCCAGGGCTCTGTACTGTTCACAACTGACTCCAGTGCCATCTCGATCGCGCGTAGCTCTGCGGCATACACGGTCGTTGTGCTATCGTCGCTCATCTGGCTGTGGGCGACATGGTCTTCGAGGTCGATCACCATCGCTGCCCCCACTCTTCCTTCAATTCCACTTCCATCGGTATAAATTATCAAGGGTCGCTCCTTTGATGCCTTCACCACGATCTGTTCATGAAATGCTACTGCTGCCTCTCTGTCTTGAATGATCACCCCCGGCGGCGCTTGCCATGGTGCCAGGACGAATGCTTTTCGGTTCTCCCAGATTCCTGCCAAAGTTCCCGGGAGAGCCGTGAGGCATCCGCCCATCTTCCAGGTCTGCGCCTCCATTGGTGTCCATCCAGCCCAGACTCTCTCGTGTGCCGCTCGGCGTCGCACCATTGTTGGTGGTATACCAAGCTTCGGTCCTGTTCGTAGTCGAAGAGCCGTTTCTTTCACCAGTCGATTCATGTGGATCGAGATGGGTGGTAGGTACAGCTCTGCGTTCAGTGCCTCCGCCGCTGTGGTTCTGAAAGCTCCACTGATGAGACACGCTGCTTGTTTTTGGATGGCCGCAAAGGGCCGACAGATTGATTGGGCCTTGGTTTTGCTAACGTGCATAGGCTGATACCATGCGGAGACGCCAAAGAGCATCTGCGGTATGATTACTGCTTGATAAATCCTGCGCATGGCATACAACGAGGCTCCCCACGTCGATCCTGCTAAGCTTCGTAACGCTTTGAGAGAGATGCTAGCCTTTGCCACGGCTTTCTCCCGGTGATGATGAAATTCCAGGCTCGGATCTAACCAATATCCCAGATATCTCTCGGCTGTCTCCGTGGCTCGCACAGTGTGTTCTTGTAGACGTAGTGGGAGGTATTGTGGGTCGACTTCTTTGGTATTGACGAAGTGTATGAGGGCGTACTTTTTGGGGTCGAAGACTGATGCATGTTTCTCAGCCCACTGGTCGGCTTTGCGACATGCAGTCTTGAGCTTCTCAATGGTCTCGCGTTCACTGTCCCCTTTGGCCATAAAACAGACATCGTCTACCCAACCACTGCTAATAATTCCTGTCCCGCAGTTCTCAATGAGGTCTGCATTGTAGATCAAGTAAAGGATTGGTGATATCGGCGACCCTTGCGGGATGCCTGTAGGTGTTGGGATTATACCGGATATGCCTTCAGGCATGCGGATTCTTGTGCTGCGGTTGGACAAAAACGCCTTGACCCAGGGAACGAAGTGCCCCAGGCGTCGTTTTCTGAGGTTATGGAGGAGGCGAGCATGGGAAACATTGTCATACGCCCCAGAGACATCTAACATCAACAGGGACACCA